GGTTGAGGAGCCGAGCCCTTGTGGGGACCGGAGGGAAAAGGGCCCCCCGGAGTGCCAGAGGCTCTGCTTTGGGTCCGAGTGCCAGGGAGCACGCCGGGCACCTGTGGCCACCCACTCGGACCCCACACCCCTCAGACCACCTCTCTCTCGAGGAGAGTGGCCCCGTTCCCTGCAGGCCACCGGGGAGGGCCTACCCCATAGTGTGTCCCAGGCCGCCTCAGCCCGATGCCTCCATCAGCCAGACAGCGGTCACACCGAGTCCCCTGGCAGTGGCCTCACTCCTGAACGCTCAGACCAAGTTGCCTGGCCTCCGTTCCCTACAAGGCCCACTCAGGACAGTGGCAGGTAACATTCCGCCTGCTCCTGAGGTGGGCGCTCCTCACCGGGGTGGGGGGAAAGGGTGGCCAGCGTGCACGCCCAGCCAGAGGGGCACCGTGGGTTCCGGGCCCCCAGGCCCTGGTTACAGGAGGCCAGGGAGCCAGCTACTGGTGCCCGCTGCCCTCCTTGGCGGTCCACCAGAAAGGAGGCCCCAGGGCTCCTGTGCAGCCCAGCCCCAGCCCCAGGAGCCTCTCTCCTGTGCCCCCTGCTCCTCCTCTCTGCTATGGCGGCCCCTCCTTTCACAGCCGTCCCCACACCAGGAGCCTGTCTGCTGTCCTGCACCTGGTGCCGGCCTGTAGGCAGCACTTACATGTGTTTGCTAGAAGCATGCTGCTCCCCCCACACACACTACGAGCCCGTGGTGCTGACGGGGGCACATTTTCTGACTTTTCCAGGTAAGGGCACAGGATATGGGGTGTCAGGGCCACGTGGGGCTGGGCTGAGCAGCTGACGATACACCTGTGGCCAGCGGGTCCCCTGGGCAGTGAGGGAAGACCCTGCGCCCAGGCCTTGCTCAGACCTCAGCCAGGAGGAGGTGACTGTGGGCCTGAGACTCAGGGACATGAGCACAAACGGGGGCTCCTCCTGTTCAGCCCCGGGGCAGTGGGAGCGCCTCACTCCCAGGCACCGTCCCCCAGTGGACAGTGGCCAACGGAGGGGACCATCCCCAGGGGACACTACACACATGGGCGTCTGCCCCCGGCTTCTGCCACAGCTTGAACGCAGGGAGTGTCCCTGGCCTCAGCCAGGAGTCTGTGAAAACATGCCCACAGCAGGCTGCTGCCTCTGGGGTGAAGGGGGGCTGGCAGCAGCCTCCCTGCCAGCTCCCCGACTCTCCTCTCTCGGGCACGTTCTGTTCCTCGGCAAGTGGGGTCGCGTCTCCTCTTGTCGGGCGAGAGCCTCCCGTCTCCCTGGGCCGGGTGGCAGTGAGTCAGGCGCTGGCACAGGGACCCGGGGTGGGCGGACGCATCTAGCGTCTGCTCTCCGAGCAGCGGCCCTGTGGGGGTGGGGGGCTGAGCAGCTGCTGCTCCGCTGGTCCCTGAGATCAGGGAGGATGTGCGGCCGAGGGGACCTCTCAGTGGGAGGGCCCGCCCGTGCCCTGGACCCTGGGGCTCGGGCTACAGGCCCCTGCAGCCCCTCGGTCAGAACCCTGCCAGATCCGGTCCAGCTGCCCGGCTCCCTGGGCAGAAAGCCAAGGTCTGGAGAGGTGAAGGCCGCCCAGGTCCCTGGCCTGTGGCAGCCCAGCAGAGCCGAGGACCCCGGCCGCTCGTAGCTGACCTGAGCATCGCATCCACGGTCTGTACTGTGATGGAGGTTCCACCCACATCAGGGGTGGAGAGCTGGGGGTGCTCAGCATCTGGGGCCAGACAGCTGGTTAAAGGGCAGAGTCCAGTTCGGACCCAAAGTCTCTGGCCGAAGCCCGGGGCCCGTCCCTCCCTGGCAGGTCGCCTCCAGGACCCGACTGTGCCGACCTCGGGCTGGACTCTTTCTCTGCCGCGTGTTTTGCTCTGAGCCCCCGACCCAAGGCCCCTCCTGTGGACACTCCGTGTCTGCGGCTAACTGGGGCGTGCTGAGTTCGGGTGTCCCCGCTCCTGCAGGGCCTGTTGTGCCCCGGCCTCACGCCGGTGAGGGAGGCCCCCCAGGTGGCACTGGTCCCATCTGGGCCCTTTCACTGTGGGGTCATCCAATGGTGTTGTGTCTCTTTGTCAAGTACAATGGAGGAGGGCAGGGAGGGAGACCGCTAGTGAGCCCTGGCTTCTCGAGGAGACATGGGGTCAGGGAATAGGACAAACCCAGGGCTGAGGCCTAGTCCTGGGGACTGCGTCCCTCAGGGCCACCGACCGGCTGTGGCCCAGCTAGGTGGGCAATGGCCCATGCTGAGCCCTGGCCCACAGCGCCTGGCTGACCACAGAGCAGCTCCTGTGTAGGGTGGGCACGCATGACCCCTCACTGCCCACGCTGCTGGATGGGCGATGCCAGGACGCAATGCTCCTGGACTTGTAAATAGGAGAGCCTGTCAGGGCAGCAGCTGCCGTCCTGACCCAGGTCACCCCCTGGAAATGAGAACCGGCCACTTCCTTCAGTTCCCTGAGAACAGACCTGCGAGACGGAAGCCTGCCTGCAGATCTGCAGGACAGGCCAAGCCCGCCACGCCTCTGGTCCCTCCTGGTCTCAGAGACCAGAGAAAGCACTGAGGGCCACGATGAGGGACCCTGGTGGTCGAAACCCTCTGCTCCTCCCCAGTAGTGCCTGCGGCGTGAAGCCGTTCAGCTGGGTCCGGTCCCCGGGAGAGGCCGTGGAGGGGCCTTGCTTCTGTCACAGGGAATGAGCGGGAAGAATGCCCTGACCTAGGGCTGCCGGTGCGAACGCAGGCACAGAGCGTCCAGTTCCACTGGAGTTTTGGGGAAACGACCGTGCACTCTCTCGCAGAAGCGCGTCCCCAATATGGTACTTTCTCTGGACACTCCACGCTGACCCGCCCCAGGGCGCACGGCTGAGCCCTGGAGCCCGAGTCCAGGAAAGAAAAAATCCCTCTCCTGGCTCCTGAGATGATACGAGGACAATGGATTAAAAACGTCAGTGGGTCTAGAGAGACCTGGGCAGTGGCAGCGTTGGGGTGCCCATCTGGGACAGCAGCCGACACATCCTGTCTGTCTGTGGCCCTTCTCCCAGCTGGACCGCAGCTCATGCAGGGCGAAGGCAGTGCCCGCGTCCGTGCCTGCTGAGCTGCTTGGGACCCGCTGGCAGGGAACGGGGGGGTGGGTGCGAGGGCTGCACCTGCTCCCCCGGGCCTCACTCCCCCTGCTGGCCTTCCTCACCACGCTGCCCTGTGCCCACTGTCCAGCAAACCCCACAGGCTGGGGCCTCTCCCGGCCCGGCCTCTGTCCCGCCCTCCCCTGCTCCCTCTGTGCCTGTGGCCTGCCCACTCCTTGTCTGACTGTGGTTCTGGCTCCCACGCCAGGGATTCCATTTCCTCCTCCTTCAGCCTCCCCTGTGCTCAGCGCCCGCTGTTCCCAGAGCCTCTCCAGAGCTGAGAGGAGACCAGACGTGTCCTGGCAGCTGCCCCGAGGTGAGTCACGTCTGAGGTCCTGCCAGTGAAGGAGGGGCGAGGAGGGCGGGCCTTCGGGTGCGGGAAAGGGAAGGGGGTGTCCCCGGTGGTCAGAAGACGGGCGGGGGTGGGGGCAGCCGGGAACCTTGAGAGCCAGTGAGTGTGAGTGAATGAAGCAGAAGAAACACTCGCTCGCCACGGACCCGTGGCCGTGTTTACAGTGCTTGCTGGCAACACTTGAGGGTTTTAATGCAACATGGTATCAACCTGTGAGTGATCACACACCCAGGCCGCACATTCCTGCCTCACGGACGAGAACCCGGGCGTCCAGGGGAGTTCCGAGGTGAACCTGGAGCCACCGCGCCAGGACCAAGCCTTCTTGGACCGTCTGCATCGTCAGCGCAGTGGGTCGCCCAGCTGCCGGTCCCTCCCTGGTCTGACCTGACCCTCCCCACCCCCTGCTGCGTGAGCAGAGTCCGCGTGGCGACCACTCCGAGCCAAAGCCCCTGACTCACACCTGCTCCTGACCTGCCAGTGTCCTGCCTCAGTCTCCTGTGCTCACACTATGCCAACGGTGTCAACCGACAGTAAGAATCGGGAAAAAAAAAATGGAGGAAAGTACATTTTCAGCAACCTGGAGAGATTTCCCTTTAGTCTCTAACCACTAACAGATGAGAAACACAAGCCCTGCAAAATCAGCCCCAAGAACAACCTAGGGAGGGAGAAACCACACTGACAACAAAAAAAACACCTGCCTCATAAGCCACCCATGAAAGAGTTTCCAACCATGGCCTGGGCTCATGTTGAAATCGCAAAGTAAATGACGGCTGGAGGACTCGGGGGCTGGCAGAAACCGTGGGGGCCGCATCGAAGGACAGTGAGGGGCTGGGACTGAAAAATCTAGAATCGTCTCTACCCATGTTAAATTAAAAAAAACACCTTCAGACAGATGAAATCGGGTTTGCACACAGGCCACTCCATCTAGCCCTGACAGCACCCCCCAAGGCAGCCTTCGTGGTGTCCACCGTGTGCGGGAGGGGGCTGAGGCCGGGGGTGGCAGGTCCCGCCCAGCAGCCGCGCTCGGTCCTGTTGCAGAGCGGGGCTTGGAAGCCGGTGTGGCGGCCTTATAGCCTCAAGCCACACTCCCTGCCTCTCAGTCCAGCTGGCCAAGTCCTCTGGCCTCGGAGCACCCTCTAGGGCCCCCTCCTTGAAGACGGAGACCCCCCAAGACTTTCCTGGAAAGGTCTAATTTAACCCACAGATGGGCCTCAAGAATTCACATCTGCGGCGTGATCACATCAGAGGTGGCGAAAGGGAGTTTCCCAAAGTCCTTTTTCTTGAGGCTTCGCACGGGTGGCCCTGAGACATCCGAGAATGTCCCGTCAGCCCACGCAGTGGGTGGGTGACAAGCCCCATGAGACACTGGCCACACTGAGGGACCTGGTCAGAGTCGAGATCTCATCCTGGGCAGCCCCTCCCGGCCACAAGCCTCGGTCACAGTGTGACTTCCTGCGCAGTGCACCCCGCCCGCCCGCCAACGCCCTGGGGGCCCCGGAGCGGCCGCGGCTCTTACCGGGTAGCCCCACGAGCCGTTCCCCGTCTGCAGCTTGGAGTAGTAGCTGCTCCGCGCGGTCCCGTAGTTGTTGTAGTTGTTGTAGCCGTCAGCCAGGCCGTCGTACATGGAGCCTGAGGGCAGAGGCAGAGGCAGGGTTAGGACAGGCTGGCCGTGCTGGGCACCCTCGGCCTAAGCCCTGGCCGGACAACGGCTCCCACCCGGGGCCCCCCGCCCCCCAAGGAGTCCGGGTCTGAGCCGGAGGAGGAGGGGCTGGGCCCAGGCTGCAAGTCCTGTCTCCTGCCTCCAGCCCCTCCACCTGCAGGGCCCAGGACAGACTCTACAAGTGCAGAGACGGCCTCCTCCTGGGGACCCCACGGCTCCTGGCTCCTGGAGAAGGTTGTCACCTACATGGCAGGAGCCCTTGGGGCACTGCCGTGCCCTTTCAGGGAGTCCTGACCCCACACCCAACAAAGATAAGCTTCCCAGTTGGGGAAGACAGGCAAGACCTGGACATGCCAGGTTCAGAGCCTCAAGGTCAGGGCCACAGAGCAAGGATGGCTGGCTGGAGGCCACTTCAGGGCGGGACTCTGGCTCCAGCCTCAGCCGGGGCCCCCCCCGCCCCAGCAAGCAAGGACCTTCCTGCTCCTTCCTGCATCTCTTAGCTGGAAGATTAATTAATGTTTTTGGGGTGATTGGTGACCCGCAAATGACAGGTTCTGCAGGGGACAGTGTCATTAAGGTCATTAGTGGCAAAGTGGCTTTGCCTCCCAGAAATCAGACTGGCCTTGGGCTCCTGGGGGGGCCATCCCTCTGCTCCCCCTTCTCCAGATAGAGGGCGGGGGTCGTAGAGGATAAGGTCCTGCTGTCCTGGGAACAGGGCTGCCAGGGACAGGCTGTGACCTCGCCTGCCACGTTGGCGGTTTCTCCTCGCCCACTCGCCCACGTCTCCACGGCGAGCTCCACACCCCACCCCTCTGGGGAGCCTTTCCCCACCAGCCCCGCTCACAGCCGCCCTGCTGACTCTGCCCAGGTCCCGCCCAGCCGGTGCTCCACCACAACGCCGCCCGCCTTCGAGGGACGCCTCGCAGGGGGTCACCAGAGCAGGGCTGGCCCACACTCTGGCGGAACGACGGCCTCTGTGAGGCCGTGAGAGCCACTCTTCCCGAGGTGATGGCGGGGGTGCAGCGGTGGAGACCCTGTCTCCGAAGGTGGGGGTGCTCACCTGGGAAGGGAGCCCCTCCCTCACCTGCCCCACCTGCTTAGACTCCAAACCCTTAGGGCGGGGGGTCTGGGGTCCCTGTCTGGTGCCACCTCCTCTGTGCAATGTCACATGGCCCCCAGAGCTCAGAGGCCAGGGCCTGTCCCCCAGCCACAGAGGACCAATCGGCCTTCAGCACCACTGGCTGGGGCCCTGGGAGCCTAGAGGTGTTCACCCTGGTGGTGCTCTGGCACGTGGGCAGGTGGGGTGCCCCCGCAGCCTCAGCCTCCTCTTTCACATAGAGAAGGGGTGGCCTCTGTGCACCCAGATGCCCACGCGGCCCCAGGGTCCCCTGGATGAGGAATGACAGTGACACAGGAGGAGCCTGGCTTTCCTTCTCCAGGGTTCAGGGTCCTTACATGGAAGCAGTGCAGACAGCAGAGCCACCTCGGCCCCCCACTGCCTGCCCGGGGGCCTCCAGGCCCAGCTGAGCCCTGGCTCCCCGGGGGACATGAGCCTCTGACTGAAGCCACGCTCCTCACTGAGTGTGGGTGGGCAGCCCGTTGCCCTCCTTTCTCCTGCAGCTGCCCCCCCGGAAAGGGGCCTTCGTGAGGAGGAGACGGGAGGCAAGGCCGGGGCTCAGCGGCCCCGGGAAGGGGCTGCAGCCGGGCGCACAGCACAGCCGGCCCCCCGCCCCCCGCTGCAGGGCTCGGCGGGCCTGTGGGCACCTGGCTCCTGCCCACGAACAGGGAGTTCTCACCAAAGGGCAGGTGCGGGTCAGCCAGCGGCTTGGGATGGAAAATCTGGGGGGTGACGGACACAGTCCTGCTGGGGAGAGGCGGCGTCCGGGCCTCCGCCTCCTTCCAGACGAACCTGTCAGCAGTGAAGTCACACCCCCCGGGCCACCAGGGAGCACCTCCCCTGCCCCAGCCTGCCTCTGCTCCCACATTCCCTGGGTGGGGCTGGTGGGGCGTTCCCTGCCACGGAGGGGAACAGGGCTGCCTCTGGAATGCCAGTCCCACATCCCAGGGGTGATGTGGGTGGGGACAGGTGTGGGGTATAACTCACTTCCAGTGGGCCAAGGCCTCTGGCCCCTTCCTGGGAACTCCTGATGGCCCCCCTGTGTCCCCTGTGAAACCAGGACTCGGACCACCTGACCCCCACCTTAAGCTGCTCTGCTTGGCTTCCTTGTGGGAACGAGGCGGCCATCACACCAGCCATCATGGCTTCTCTGGCAGAGGGGGCTGTGCTTGGGCCCAGGCTGTGAGGAGGGGAGGCGTCCAAAGACATTCCACACCTGAAGTCGCCCCTGGCAGTGAGCCTCATAGCTCAAGGGCGAGGATGGGAGGTGACCTCTCTTTGGAGAAGCTGCTCCCGAAACAGAAGCAACATTTCCCTCTCTGGGCCCCTGGGCGTCTGGCCAGTAGGCACTACCCTCTGGAAATCAAGTCCCACAGCCAGGACATGGGGCCTCTCCACCACAGTAACGGGGACAGGTGTGACAGCTTTCCCTTCTCCACCTGGTCCCCAACTTCCTGGAAGCCCTTGCTGACACTGGCCCTGATCGCACCCCCTGGGTCGACCGTCTTCTCAGTACAGGGTGAGTGGGGCGCCCCTGCCCGGCCACGGGGCCAGGGTCCTTGGGCCAGCTCAGCCAGGTCCCCTCTAGGTGGGTGGGGTAAACCAGGAAAAGAGCAGCCTGGAGCTGCTCCAGAACCAAGGTCGCCCCTTGTAGAGGATTCCTGGTCCAGGAGTGTTTGGGGAGGTGACCCCTGCACCCAGCGCAGCCCCCAGAACCATCCTCGCCTCTCAGGTGACCATCTGCTTCCCACCGTCTCTCTGAAGGGTCAGTGTGTCACTGGCAAGGATGGCGTGTCTCAGAGGCACTGGCAGCCGAATCAACCTCTGCCCTGTCCCCGGGGGGCCTCTGTCCCTACCCCCGCAGAACCCCAAGTCCCTACAGCAGCTGTCTCGGGGAGGTGCTGCTTTCCCAGGCGACACCGCCCCTGTCATTCCCATCCACTCCGGTCACGCCATCTCAGGACCTGCCTCCCAGATGGCTCATCCCTGGAGCTGCTTCCCTCTGATGCCCCTGAATTTTCTCACCCACAGACGCTTGGAAAACTCGGGCAGCTCCCTTGTTAGGGCACACAGGGTTCTCTTACGGGATGGGGGGGTGGGGAGGCGGCAGGGGGGGGCAGACAGAGGGACCTTTGAGGAGACAACTCCTCCCCCCACCCCCAAGCTCCCGCCTTCCCAGACAGCTTTCTTTTGTCACCCAAACCCTCTCCCTGCCCTCAAAGCCTCGCACAAACCCCTGGAGGTGGCCCGCCCAGCTCTGGGCGCTGCACGCCCTGCAGCCGACTCTCGTCAGCACTCTGTCCACCCTCCTGTGGGCCCGAGCAGCGTGGCCCCTGTGCGGGCTGAGTGTGTGTGCCAGCGAGTGATGGTGCGTGTCACAGGGGTCCCCTGCAGGTCTGCGTGCAAGGGAGGGAGGGAAGGCACGGGAACAGGACTCTGGATCGTGGCTGCACGTGTCCGGGTCTAACCAACTACACCAGGGCCTCTGGGGCACAGCCGGGGCTGGCATTTAAAAAAAATCCCAGGGGATCCGCGTGCGGGCATATTCGGATGTTTACTAGAAACAATGAGTGATCGTCCACCTCCAGGGGGCGCCGTCCCGCAGGTCCCCTGTGGGCGGACCGGGAGCTGGGTGCAGAGGCGGGGGACTACGCAGCCTCTTTCCCAGGCGCGTTGCGAGCACCAGGTGCTTGGGACATGACCTAATCCCACCTGTCCCAGGTGTAGACACTCGGGGGAGGCGGCGACTGGCTCAGCTCCGTCAGGAAGGGAGACAGACAGCGCCCGGGTCTCTGACACCGGGCGGGTCCCAGCCACAGCCCCCGCCTCTGCCTTGGTGTGCGCGCATGCGCGCCAGTGAGCGCATGTGCCCGGCCTGGGCGCAGGTGTGTGTCCGCGTGCACACACTCGCGCGCTGTGCCCACGGAGGACGCCGCACGAGCACGCCTCGTATCCTTTCGTCCTGTTTTGTTCAGACATTACGCACCCTCTGGATGCTACGCCCCGTCGCCGAAGTAGAGCCCAGATTTCTAAGCTAACAACGGCCGATGGATGGTACAGTTTGGTGTGTGGGGAGAGAATTTTATGGTTTTTTTCTTTTTATCTGCCAATGAGCTGAGCCAAGGAGCAGGATGCAAGGAAACAGTGTCTGCTGGGAAACACCCCAGAATATCCTGCATTTTTGCATGTGTCAGAACAGGCCAATGGAAGTTCAGGTTGAACCTCAGCTTCCAGCCAAGGTGCATTGTAAAGAAACAAAAATTGGTTCATTTGAAGTTTAATTAGTGGGTTGCTGCCAGTACAAGCTACGGCGCACATACCTTTTGCCATCCCCCATGTCAGCTTTGGCCCCGAAAACAGAGCCCCACAGGGGATGCCCGCTCACGCCCTGGGACCCAGGAGGGGAAGGTGAGCGGACGCCCCACACTCACGGAGCAGGCATAGAGGGACTCGCTAACGAGGCCCTGCCGGGAGGCCCCCCAGCTCCGCGCTGTCCCCGACCTGCGGGTGGACCCTCACCTGTGTGCATCTCAAGCCGGCCTCCGGGAGGCCTCAAGTACCTCTGCCCTGTGAGGGACCAGGAGACAGGCCCCGCCCCGCCCAGTGTCCCCCACCCCCGCCTCTGACCAGGGAGAAATACAGGTTTGGCCATTTGAGATGGAAATGATGCTTCTGAGCAGCGAGAGGCCAGGCCCAAGGCTGACAAATCGCAGCTACGTGTCAGGGTTTCCTGGCTGAGACGGGCGGGAGAGCGAAAAAGTGGATTCTGTCAACCCCTGTGGGTGGTATCGCTGTGCGGGGGTGGGGCGGGCGAGGGGGCGGTCAGGTGAGATTTGGGTTAAGCCTTAAGAAGAGATTCCAGCGCAGTGACGAAGAACCCAAGCGTGGGAAAGTGTGTCCTTCACCTGCAACCGACCCCTCCTGCAGGGACTCTCAGGCCAGGCGGCCCCGTGCCCCGAAGAGATGTCTCTGGGCAGCCACACCCCTGCTTCCCACACGGCCCGGAAGACGCCCTGTGCTCACGGGACCCTCTGGATTTTGAGGGGCTGGAGAAGAGAAAGCCATGCGGGCAGGCAGAGTGGGATCTCCAGGCCCCAGAGGCCTGCACAGTCCCCGCAGCTGCCCCACCCGGGCCTGTTTCCGGTTGGGCATGAGTGAGGACAGACACACAGGCCTTGGCTCCATCTCTGGAGCTCTTTCTCCAGCCCCAGCTGCTCAGCTGACCCTCACAGACAAGACAGGAGAGAAGCCACGAGTTCTCCCGACGGTCCCTCAGGGAGCCCGGGGAGTGCAGTGTGGCTGGGCTTCCCCGGGGCCGCCGTTCCACTAGAAGGGTCCTGGAAGGAGTCAGGGGCCCGGGAGAAGCCAGGCCCCAGAGGAACCTGCCCCTCTCGTGGATGGGACAGAAGCGGAGTTTGAGCCTGTCCTGCGGGTGGAGGGGAACAGCCTGGGGTGTGGCCCTTCCAGAGCTGCCCAGACCCCTCCCAGGAACCAGGGTGGGTGCTTGGGACAGAGGAAGAGGAGTGAGTGGCCACACAGGGAGCCTCGGGTGCCCGGGTGCGGAGGAGGTATCTGGCGGAAGGAGCCAGCTAAACCAGAATCGCCGGCCTGAAGCAGCCGCATGGCCTCCCCAGCTCCGAGGCCACTGGGGAGCTGGCCCTGAGGGATCCTCGCCATAGCTGGAGGGGCAGGGACACGCCTCTGGGGGCAGGATTTGCAGAGCCGGGGTCTGCGGACACATGCATAGGCCACGAGAGTCACTCCTCACCTGGCTGAAGGTCCCGGAGGACCTCAGGGTGGCTGGTGTCTGGGCACTGGTTTGCAGTGTCTCTGGAGCGCAGACCAGAGACGGAGTGGGGGTGGGGAGGGGACAGGTGAGTCTCGTATGGAGAACAGAGTGGGTTGGCTTCAGCGGTGACTGGGCTGGGGCCGGACACAGGGCACTTGGTTTTCCTAAACCTGCTTCCAGAAATGGCTGGGAAGCAGCTCCCGAAGCCCCCCAGGAAGGAGGAGGCCCAGGCTCTGAGTGGAGGCGGCGGGAGAGGTGCCAGGGGCCCAGCCCGGGGCCGGGAAATGCAGGGCTGCTTGGGCCGGGGTCTGTCCCCTTCCTCCCCTTCCCCTGGATCCCCCACTCATCTCTGACCCCGGGGCCTGACCCCATACGCAAACCCGGTTGACCTCTACTGGTCCACAGTCTTCAGTCTTCACTGGCATTTCACTAAATTCAGCTAGAGAAATAAAAGCTTCTCGAATTTGCGAGCCAATCTCACCGCCAGTTGTTTGTGCTAAAGCACTGGATCGAAAAATTCTCCGCACATGCCCACCAGATACTGTGCCTCCCTCCCCGAGGTGCTGGGGCCCTTACCCCTCCCTCTTCACCTCACACGGTGGGGGGGACTTTGTGGGGGTCTTGGGAGGGCTGTCTGGTCAGACGAGCCCCCAGATTGGACAGGTGTCTCCCTGTGAGAACTCAGCCAGGGGCAGAGTGGGTCACTCTCTGACCTCGGTTCCTACCCCTCCCCAACACAGTGTCCCCAGCTGAGCGCAGGAGGGGGAAATCCGTGGGGAAGGGAGCTTCCGAGTCGGCTATCAGGGAGAGAGGGCATCTCCAGGCCCCTGACGGTGCCCAGGGGGCACGCCAGCCCTGGGGTGGCCTATTCCAGGAGCGGGGCATCTGCTAAAATGTTGCAGAGGCAACAGAAGCTTGTCCACCCCAGCAGTGCCCCTCCTGTCCCCCCCTTGGGTCTGATGAAACTGCCACTGTCTGGCAGCCACTCACCGCCCCGCCCGGACCAGGACCCTGCCTGCCTGGGCGGTGGCCGGTGGGGCTGGTCCTGGCCGCTCACTCGGGAAGGCTGGGGCTGGTGAGGGTGAGCCCTGGGGCCGAGGCCCACAGGGGAACCGGGGCAGAAAACGAGCAGAATTGGGAAAGAGAGAGAGAACTGGGAACGGCACGTGGACAGACCTCCTGTCAGGGCACAGGAGCCGCCCCGGTGGGCACAGCGAGTCCTCACTGCAGGAGCAGCCACCTGGGGGGTTTTGGCGGCAGCGTCACCCCACTGGGACAGGTGGCGGGGGTGGGGGGGGCGGCTCTGGATTTCCACCCTGTGCAGCGCTGGCCTCAGCCTCACTCCCTCGCCCCTGGCACCCCGGCCGTACGTGCGGCGGGCGCACGCGCTGAGACCTTACCTCGGTTGGAGTGGCTCAGGGTGGACGACTGCGACGACTTGGACTTTTGCCGCTTGGCCGTCATCATCACCTGCTGCTGTACGCGCTGGCTGCCCGACGTGCCCATCTTCATCTTCTGGTCCGAGGGCAGCGCCAGCGTCGAGTGGTCCTGGTTCTGGAAGCATTCGTAGGCCAGGGCGGTCTTGAGCGGCGAGTGGTTCATGGCGGCGGCGGAGGCGCGGCCCGGCCTGCAGAGCGGGAGGCGGGAGGCACGAGGTGTGTGGGGTGGCGGCGGCTGTTCTCGCTCAGCGGCTCCCTGCTCCCATAGAGCAAGTCTCCGAGCTGCTCTGGGCCTCCTCCCGGGCTCGTCTCTCCCCGGGCACTGGCGGGACCCGCCCTCCGTCGGACTGGATATACCGCCCCTGCCCACACCGCCCACCCCGCCCCGCTGTGCTCCCCAGTGTGGAGCTGCCTCTCTCCCCCACAGGCGGGGCGGGGGGCGGGGGAGGTCCCGCCCCTTCGTGCTGTACCTCTGCTCAGGGAAAAAACTATGTTCTCAGCTGGGAACCCAGGGAGGCTTCTCTCCAGGAAGAAAGAGTCTTTCTGAGGAACCGGGACAGCCACACGTCCGTCCCCCTCTGTCCCCAGGTCGTGGAGAGTCCCGCAGGTGGGGGCTTCCGGTCTGGCAGCAGCAGTACAGGCCCTGCCTGAAGGGAGTCCTCCGTCTCCTGGGGACAGTCCCTGCTGCTGAGGGCAGCCTCCAGCCTGCAGAGAGTGGGGTGGGGACAGAGCGAGACCAGGCCCCAGACCTGGAGTGGGAGACCGTGGAGCGGTCACCTGCCTTCCCCGGGGAGCCCCCTGCGAACAGTGGACCCTCCTGAAACTCTAGGCTCGGCCCCTAAAATGGCACCTGGTGCATTTGAGAGGCTCGATTAAAAGAAACAAACACTCTTCTGAACAGAGGGAAGCGAACACACGGTGAATCGAGCCCAGCAGGAACCCCACCCAGATCCCTCCCGACACCCCCCAAGGCTGCCTCGCCAGTACAGCGTCCCCAGGACAGGCTTCTGATTCCAGGACACCCGTGTGCCTCGCCCCATGCTCGTCCCCGGGGACCCGTGTGGGGCGCCACTCCCTTCTCCCAGCATCGCCCTTGGGCGCCGGGAGCCCACGTCAGGCCGCTGGGTGAGTGATGGGCTGAGCATTTTTTTAACGACATTGGCGGAAATCCCCAGAAACGGCGCCCCGCCCTGTGTCGTCTCCTTCAGTCCGGGACCCTGAGCACACTCCCTGCTGACTCGGCGTTCCCACGGTGGACGGTGGGGCCCCTGAATGGAGGGCCCACCCGGCCGTCAGCCCCTGGGGGTCCGGGACTCCGCCAGCGGCCCCTTCTTACCGCCGGCCGCAGCCCTCACACTGGCCTTGCGGGGGCCCCTTCCGACCCACTGGGGAAGGGACCCTCGGAGTGAGTCTAAGCTTGTCAGGCATCTGGTGTCGAGGGTGGCAAAGCCGGAGGGGCGGTCTCGGGGGCCACTTCTTGGGAAGTGGGTGTCCTGGCTGGGAGCCACCGCTGCCCCCCCCCAAGGCATCCGCTCGCCACGTGCGGAGCAGGATGTTGTAAAGCACATTATAGGAACAGTAAAGCACCAATAGAAATAGTTTCCTAATTGAGGGCCATGTGCCTGAGAGTCAAGTGTCACATAAACCAGAGATGTGACCAAAGACACATCATGGGTATGAACGTCCAACCCCTGGGGGCCCCTGTCACCACTTAAAATGTTAAGACTCTGCTTCTAGCCCCAGACCCCCAGGGCTGATGGGCGGAGCCTGGGGGGCCTGAGGGGAGCGCAGGTGGCCTGCCCGCGGTCACCGGTTATGAGGACTGGTGACTCCCAGGCCCCGGTCTTCCTCTACGTCCCCGGCCTCCCCTATAAAAGTCCCATAAAGTGGCATTACAGTCCCTTGCTCACGGGTGACCGGGGCCCCGAAGTGCTGTAAAGTTCAGATGGCAGCACATTAACAGGCAGGCGCCCTGCGTCACCCACTGGGCCTCTCTAAAACCTAATAAGCTGGCCACAATCCACGTTAATTATGTCTGTAAAGAATGATAATTTTGCTGCCTTTAGGATGTCGCAGGGGCCCAAGGAGGAGACTGGACCGGCCCGCACTGCTGTCGAAGGCCACACTCCGGACGCCGCCGGCACGCACAGCCTTTGCCGTGGTGTCCAGGCACCGGGTCCCGTGTTTCCTGCTGGTGCTCCTGACGCCACTGTGACTGGCCCTAATGTACAGTGCCCGGCACGCGTGTTTCCTTCCAATGACCTGGGGAGGCAGGCGCCGCCGCCGCCACCTTCCTTTCTCCGACGAGGAGGTGGGGGCTCAGGGAGGTCGCCCTGCTGCCCAGCGGCAGGGACATGTCCAGCTCGGGCAGCCTGGATCCCGGGCCGGGCCCGGACACCCGGCCGCCTTCTGTGGGCCAGTCCCCGCAGCATCCAGTCCCCTCTCAGGGCATGAAATCGAGCCACTGAGGTTCCGGCTCCCGGGTGTCACTAGCTGGCTCCCTGAGGCCAGACGAGCCCCTTCCTCTGGCCCAGCACCTAATGTGTGAGTGGGCGATTGGCTAGCTCACCAGACCCCCTCCTGCCCTAACACTGCAATGCTGACTTCCACTGGGCGCCTCTGGGGCCCAGGAGCTTCTGGATGAGCCAGTCGGGTGTTGTGGGGGAGGCCGGGGGCCTGATGGCCAGTACAGAGGGGTCGGAGGGACGTGTGGAAGGGGCCTGAAGGTTGAGACGCAGCTGCCCTCCCGGGGGGCAGGGGTTGCTCCCAGCAGAGGGACGGGCGGTGTCAGGGCCGGCAGCCTGGCCTCAGAGGTCGGCGGGCGGGGCCAGCCCGGCGGAGGGGCAAGGCCAGGGCGTGCACCTGGGCCTCCGACACACCCGCACTGTCTCCGAGCTGCCATTCTGGTCCCTCCAGGTGAGCGGGGTGGGGCGGCGGCCAGGACGGCGATGAATAACACGGCAGCGACCCAGCCCCGTCCCAACAGGCTGCCGTCAGCACTGGGCTGGCTCCTCGAGCTGCCTCTCTGCCAACTGAAAATTCCAGTCCTGTGCTCCCAAAGCTGCCGCACCTGGGGCCGCCTTTCCACCGACCCCTCCCCCGGGCCCACAGGGGCTGCGGGCTGAGCCCCAGCCTGGGGGCCTGAGGAGCCTCCAGCTCCCCCTGGACCCGGCAGCACTCCGCGGCCTGGAGACGGGACAGGCGCGCACCCAGCTTTGCCGCCGCTGGCTGTGTGACCAGGAGCACGCCCCTCAGCCTCTCTGTGCCTCAGTCTCCTCGTTTGTTAACATGGGATTAGTAATAACTCTCAGGGATCCTGTGACCAGAAATATATACTTAAAAACACATAAACGGCCCAGCAGCGCGCTCGGCATACTGCAGGAGCTTACTAATGAACAGAACTTCCTCCCCCGGCCGCACCACCCGGCCTTCTCACTGCCTGGCCCTCTCTGCCCGACTCCACTGTCTCCTGGGGCTGGGTCCCCCAGGGCCTCTCCTCCCAGCCCAGCCCGCATCCTGGGCTGCACATGGCCCCCTCATTGCTGCTTGGGGGGCTTGAGACCCTCAGAGGGGGAGGAGCCTCACGAATCACTGGTCTAGCCTTTGATTTGTCCCGTGTGCTGAGGGGCACATGGCACGGCCTTGTAGGGCCTGGGCACCTGGCCCTGCCCCCTCTCCTTGGAGGCATGGGGCCCCTCTCCTTTGGGGGAGAATGGGGGGGACCTGGCAACAAGCTTGAGGCTTGAAGGGAAGCCAGGCCGGGGAGGCACCCAGAGGGCTTCTTGGAGGTGCCGCTCCTGCTGCCGGTGCTGGGAGATCGCGGCCCCTGGGAGGTGGAGCAGGGCCCTGGAGAGGCCGTGGGAGCTGCAGAGCTGGGGGAGCGTGGGGCGTGTGCACGAGCGGTGAGCCGGCCCTGCGCTCTCGGCCTCTGTCTCAGTCACCTGCCCAGCCCCAGCCCGGCACGGCCTCCTGGTAATTTGATGAGTCACCCGCCCGCGCCTGCAGATCGGGCGGCCACACCCAGGGCAGCTGGCATCCTGGACAGTGTTTCTGTTCTGAGCTGCTGAGCCGGCAGCCTGCCAGGCTGCAGAGGGCGCTGACGGGGAGCCAAGTCGCTCGGGGCCCTGGGCCGGGCTCGGAAGCTGCTGAGTGGCAGAGCCGCCTCCCGTCTGCGTTGCGCCATCCCCGGCCAGGCCTCCGGTGGGCAGCCCGGCCCAGGTGCCTTCCCACGGGGAGCGCCAATCCCCGGCCTCGGCCGGCACCTCCCAGATCTGCACGGGGGGGGGGGGGGGGCGGCTTCAGGCTGCTCCTGAGGGTCTGTAGTCGCCCACGGTCAGGGCCCGCGTGGGGGGCCCCCGCTGGCGGGACGCTGCCTGCTCCCTGCCCGCCCTGCCCCGCACAGGCCCCCAGACGAGCTGCACCGGGGGTCCTCCTCCCCTCCCCCACCCTCAGAGCACTGCGCCTCCTGCGCACCACCCAGCACGCCCGTGCCCCCCGCACCCGGGAAGTCCCTGGCGTGGCCAGTGGGCCCGCCCCGTGCCCTGAGCATCACTCCCCGAGAGCCTGCCCTGGCCCATGCACACCTGAGGTGCAGCCGGTGCCTGTGACAGCATCCGAGACAGACCCCTGGCTCCTTCCTGCCCCCTTTCCCCTACCCCCTCCCCCAGACGGGCCGGGTCTTCCTACCTGAGGCTCTGAGTTCCGGTCCTGCTGGGTTGGGGCTGGGCCTGGGGCCCATGGTGACAGAGAGCCCTGGGGGGGCCTGGGGGTGGAGGTGGCTCCATGGCACTCGGACCCTCTGACCCACCTCCACTGGCCACACATTGGTCACAGTCACGTTCCTCTGGCGACCACAAGCCAAGTGCTTCTGCAGCACACACACCACACACTCCACGGCACACGCACTCCACAGCACACACACACACGACGCCATCTCTGGGGAGCACACAGCTGCTGCAGCCCAGGGTCCGCGTGGGGGCACCTGAAGCAGGTCGACGGTGGCTCCCCTGCGGCTCCGCCCATAGTGCGGGCCTGGACCCTGTGAACGAGGCTACACTTGGGAAAGGTCCTTGCAGCCATGAGGACCTCAGGATGCCGTCATCCCGGATTTGGATTTGGGGTCGGCCCCACATCCGAAGGCAAGTGTCCTTTGGAAAGAGAGAGAGGGTGAGACCCGGGCCAGGGAGGAGAAGCCACTGTCCCTGGGACAGAGGCAGGTCCGGGAGCCGCGTTAGGGGCTGGAGGAACGCGGTCCTCTCTCAGAGCCCCCGGTCCCCCCGAAACTGCGATGGAGGGGCCGTCCCAGAAACAGCCAGGAACCCGAAACTGTCTCGGGCGCCTGGTGTGAGCTGTCGGCCTCTCTCAGCAAACTTGCTCAGCACTGAACCCCAGGGGACACAGCAGGACGACACAGCCCTCAGGGTGCCAGGCCGGGGCCCGCTGACCCCCGCCAGGCCCAGCCGGCCTCTCACCAAGAAGAGGTGAAGCTCCCACGGCCACCCCCTCCCGCCAGTGGGGGTTTGGGAAGCCAGGTGTGCCCCGCCCGGAAGTCAGAGGGCCGGCCTCCAGGGCCCAGCCGTGCTTCCTCCTGTTCTGTCCCCCCGAGTGGGTGGCTCTCCGCAGCCAGTGCCTCGCGGTGGCAGTTAGACAAGGACATGAAGGGACTCAGTCTTTCCACCGGCCTTCCATCCTGGGGGCCGGGCCCTGCGGGGAGCCTGCGGGGGGCTGTCCTCCCTTCCGAGACAGGTAAACTGAGGGCTGTCTAGGAGGAGGACCAGAACAGGGCTCAGGACAGTCATCAACCAGTCCTCGGGCCAAGGACTTGGCTCCGAAGGTGCGTCTGGCTCCCCCATTCTCTAGGTCGGCTTCCACGGGAGGGTTAGCTTCCTTCCAGAAAAGTCTGTGGGACTTGCTGCCCCTTCTTCGAGATGGTCAGCGTGGGGCTCAGCCCAGCTGCAGGAGCCGAGGGAGGCAGGTGGGTCGTGAGGGAGAACATGGGGCTCCGGGGGGTCCTCGGTGCCTCAGTCTGCCTGGGGCGAGGCCGGCTCCGGGCCTGGCCTAGCGGCCACCCTGCAGCGCAGCTGCGGGCGAGCCGCCTGCCCTCACTGGGTTTCCATTTCCCCTTGTAAAACGAGGGGTTCGGGGGGATGCTCCCCTGAGGCCTCTTTCAAATCTTCATGGACAGGAGTCGCCGGGGAATCTCGCAGATTCTGCCTCAGCAGGTCTGGGGCGGGGCCTAAGACTCTGTATTTCTATCTGGCACCTGCGGGTCCTCAGACCAGGCTCAGGGCCGGCGGTCGGCTCATTGTCCCCACCTTCCCCAGGGTGCTGTTGGAAGAACTAATCGGGGTCTCCAGCCACGTCACAGATGTGGACGAGGGACCTGGGGCAGGATCTGCCCCCAGTGTGGACCCCAGGCCTTCAGTCCTGGGAGCCTGCTGCCCCACGGGCTGCTGAGGAGACGTCCCTAAAAGACTTCCAAATGCAGACGGGCGGTCAGCTCCCCGTCCCACAGGGCAGGATCGGCCAGGCCAGGCTTGTCCCACCCGCACCTGCTCTCCTCGTCCTGCAGCCCAACCTGCTAGGTTGGGACACAAGGCCACTTGTGGCAAAACCAGGGATCCCTAGGTTTTGCCCAAGCCTCTCAGTTTTCTACCCTCCTGGAGGCTGACCAGCAGCTCCCTCAGCCAAGACCCCCGAGGGCACGGGGCCCCCCCGGAACATCTGGGGAGCCTGTGAGTGCCCACGACTGGGTTCGGGCTGGGGACCTGAGCCCCGTTCACCTCTGGAAGTTGCCTGCTGCTCTGAGGCTCTTGGGTTTGGCGGGAGCCTGCCAGTCTCCAAGGTGATAAGGTTTGTGGTATAAGCATGAAGCGTGAGGGGGGCGCCTGCTGGCTGCTGGGGGGCACTCTGAGCTCCCAGACGGCTGGGACAGGAACTTCCCCCAGCTGTGCCCCCCACCCCAGCATGAGCCCCACACGGAGTGTGCAGCGCCCCCCTCCACAGGCTGCCTGGTGAAGAGCCCCACTGAGCAGTGAGGTTCGGTTATGTGCAAACAGAACAACTACCCTGATTGTCATCTGTGCCTGGTGCCCAGCCATCACTGGTGTGACAGTGGGAGAGGTGTTTGTCGCCCAGCCTGGTCTGGGGAGCTTCTGGGCTGCCCAGAGCCCAGGACACTGGAGAGGGGGCTCGGAGGGACCCCAGTGCCCAGTCCTGTCCCATCTGGGCTGGAGCTGCACCCTGCTCCAGCCTCGGGTGTCGGCTTGGTCTCCGGGTTTACATTTGTGCTCATGTGATGTGCACTCGGGAGGGGGCAGGCTCCCCAAGTGTGGGACCCACAGGGGAGCTGGCGTGGGTGCTGGGGCCCCACTCAAGAGCCCTGTGAACCGACCGGCAGAGAACGTGCCTAGAGAGAGCCACGGATGGGAAAGAAGCAAGGAAGGACAGGCCTTGCAGCGTCCCCGGGATGGGGATGGACCGTGCGGAACAGGGCAGGGCAGCACCCGGGCGGCGGGGATGAACACAGTGACTGAAACAGCTCCCCAGTGCTTGGCGTGGCCACGTGCCCTGGTTCCCATGACCTGGCAGGGCCACAATGGCTGCCAGCCAGTGTCCACCGTCCCCTAGACACTTGTGCAGAAACTTTTCTGTGGACCAACCCGTGCGGACGGAGAGTCAGTCTGGGGCCCAGCCACAGGGAGGCCACTGTGCAGCGGGCCCTTTGCACCCCGGTGCCTCTGATTATAAGGGGCAGCTCTGCAGGGCAGTGGGGTCTCGGGTCCAAGTAGGAGCAGATGGACCCCCAGCCCTGCTTAGGTGCAGGATCGGTCTGCAGAGAGGGTGGGGGGGGTCGAAACTGAAATGGCTCAGGTTTCCCCCCGGGCAGCCCCCAGCCTGGGGGATTCCTGCCCTTTCCACACCCTCCACCTGCCCGGCTTCCTGTCGCCGTCGCCTGAGCCAGTGGCTCGTACCCCGGAGAACACGGAACCGTCGTGGGGAAGTGCTCTCCAAAGACCATTTTAGGACTCCACCGGAGCTGGGGTGGGAGGCCTCGGAGTGGCCATTTCTAGAGAGCACATCGAGGTAAAACACAACCTAAAATTTGCCACTGTCACCGTTTCTCAGGGCACCGCGTGGAGGCCTGAGGCCCATCCACACTGCTGTGCAGCCATGGTCACCATCATTTCCAGAACTTTCTCGTCCTCCCAAACGGAAACTCCAGGTCCACTGAAAATAGCCAGGGAGTGATTTTCCCACCCGCGGCACCGCCCTTTGCTGGTCTGTGTCCCAGAGCTCAACTTGTCCAGGACACAACAGTGTGGTCACGTGGTGTGTGTCTGTCCTGCTGTGATTGGCTCATTTCCTGGTCCCTGTGTCTGCTGGTGGCACGCGCGCCACGGCCTGTCTCAGCACCTCCGTCCTTTTTGCGGCTGAGTGATGTTCTGTCCACGAGCAGACCTCCCTGTGTTTGCCCGTTTATGCGCGGGCGGGGGGACACCCGGGCCGCCGCCGTTTGGCTGTTGTGAACAGCGCCGCTGTGAGTGTGGGTGGCAGGCGTCTGTGGCAGTCCCTGCTCTCCATGCTGCTGGGTCCCACCCAGCCCCGTCTCTCACTTCCAACTCTGCCTCTTGCTCCCCGGACCTGGAACAGGCCCTGGATTGCTGCCTCCCCGGCCCCACCCTGGCCTCGTCTCAGCCCAGCCCCACTCCTGAAGGCCACTGAGGGGTGGATGGGTGAGGGCTGGGCCCGCGGTGCCAGGGAACAAGGGCTGAAGCGGGAGGGCAAGCCTTCCGCGCATGAGGCAATCCCAGAACAATGGAGGGCAAACGTGACTCACCTGCTTTGGCCCCGAGCTCTCGGAGGGTGCGGACACACTGCCACATTACCGCAAGCCCGGGGAAAAAGGGACAGCGTGGCAGCTAGGAACGTACCCACGGCGGCCCAGAGGTGGGAGGGACCGCGGGAACAGCGGGCAGAGGCCGGCCTGGGGGAAAACAAAAACAAAAAAACTAGAGACAGAAACAAATCCCTCGCCCAGCCCACACTTCAGAGAGCGTGCGAACACTGTGCGTGTTCGGACGAGGCCACAATCAAACTGCGAGGCGCAGAGAGGTAGCAGTTTAAGAAAACAAAATTGAGAACTAAACACAATCCCTTATCTAAGGAGCGGCAGAAAAACATCGACAACAATGGTTAAAAATAGAAGGGCACAAAGGCTGGAATCAGGTGTAATCAGCGCTGAGGAAAAGACACAGGGATACATTGTAACCGGAGATACATTGTAACCACACAGGCAGGCTGACAGGAAAAGGAGGGGAAAGAATTACCAGGCAAGACTAAGGAAAGGAAAGCGGGAATGACAACAGCGGTTTCAGATAATGAAGTCCACTGCAGGGCAAGGCCATGGCAGGAGGAAGACAGGATCCTTACGTTTTGGTAAAGGATCGAGCCACCATCTCACAGAAGTGGAGGGACTTTTTGGCCACCCATTAACGAATGACGTAATGACTTCGGGGGCCGAGGAGTCACGCGTGGCCTCTGGCAATGTGGCCCGGGGCACCACTGAGCTCCGTGCCCACAGGCTCCGTGGGTGGGGTCACCATCTTGGTCCACTTCGAGGCTTCAGTTCTCCTGGCCCCTCTTCTCCTGGGTCCGGGATCTCTTGCAAGGACCTGCAGCTGGACCAGGTACTGCCCACCGAGGAAGGGGGCGCTGCTGGTCCCGGTGCCAGTCTCTGCTCCCTCCCCAGCCCAGCCTCCTTGCCCTCACGCCCTGGGTCCGAGGGCAGCCCCCTGAGTCTCAATGTCCCCCTCCCAGGTGGGCTCCCCTGCTGCCCTGGGCCCTGGGCTCTGCCGCCTGCCACGGCCTGCCCTTGCTTTCTCTCTCTGGCCTCAGTTTCCTCATCTGTGACACAGACAGGGTATGATGCACTCCACAGACCTCGGAGGGCTGAGGAAGAGGGTCTAGGAAACGCCAGGCCAGACACCCTGCTGCCCAGGACTCACCTGTTTGAAGCTTTTCTTCCGTGCAGTGAGTTTGATGATTTTCGTCAAAATGATACATGCTAATCATAAAAAATCAAGCTGCACTGAAATCTATAGTAATCCAGACCCCAGGCCCCAGAGAGAGCCCACAGTGACGTTTGGTGAGGGTGTCTCCTGACTGTCTCCTAGAATGACACAGACACATGGAAGGTACGGGACGGATAGCAACAATGTATCGGAGTAGGGAAGTGTTAAATTAATTTATAACAAAATTATAACAAAAAGAAAGAGGGAGGAAGCCTAAGGCATGATTCTACCTTGAAAAAATGTGTCTGAATCACAACAGACATTATCCCTCTAAAGATAAGACAATGAATTATTTTGTAAAATCCTTTCCAAATGTTGCAGTCATTGATTTTTTTTTTTGTACTATGTTTTCGTTGTTGACCATACGGCGGACTCCCGGCTGTGACAGGCAGGCGGTTAGCACCCTGCCCTCGGCCCTCCTCTTCTCCCGGCCTGATGACCCGTGCCAACACGGTATCTATTTCGTTGGGAGTTTTAAATGTTTGCATGCTGCGGTGCAGCACCTCTGCACTTAAATGATACAACGTTTTCACCACCCTGGACCCTGGATTCTCTCTCCCTGAGTTTCTCCACTTGAATTATTCATGGTTTTCTGCCTCCTATTGTCACACGGTTTTTTCAAGGGGGCTTCCCAGGCCTGAGGCCATCTCCGTGGGTCCACATTCCGTCCCTCTGTACTTTGTGGACATTACTTCGTGGTCTTCTGGCGTTGAAGGTGGGGAAGCCGGAGGCCAACCTGAACTTCCCTTCTTGCGATGGTCTGCTTCTCCCTTCCTGGGCACCTGGAAAATCCCGAACGCTTTGACGTTCGGTAAGTAATTCAGGCCAGGCCTTGGTGTCGACCACTCTGTTTTATTTTGTTCTGTGGTTTTTTTTTTGTTTGTTTCTGCCTTGCCCGGGGTATCTTTTTGGGTTCAGGTGTTTGGCTCTCTACCCCAGTAATAGTCCTTATTCTCAGACCAGCTGATCTTCATGTATTTTTCACCCTCCAGCCCCCTCTCTTCTCCGCAACTGCTTCTTTGGGGTTGGCAAAAAAGTCCGTTTGGTTTTTTTCTGAAAAAGAAAAGACACATTCCTTAATTTTCACCAGTAACTTCACTGACTTGGACATTTTGAGTGGGTCAGCTCTCTCCTGTGTGGTATAACGTTGATTGTTCACAATTAATGCCTCGATTTGATCCCTGGCCTACCCGACCGAGGAGGAGCGGTGTCCAGCGAGAAGTCCCCCTGGGAGATTTCACAAACCGCTCCCGGCACGTCCGACGTCACGGCACCTTCTCCACACGTGGCACGAGTCTTTCTCTCTCTCTTTTTTTTTTTCTGTGTGTGTTTCATGTTGCATTTTTCTCTTCTTTTTTTATTATTATTTTTTAAACATTTTATTTATTTATATTTAGAGGGGAAAGGAAGGAGAGAGGGAGAGAAATATCAATGTATGGTTGCCTCTCGTGTGTCCCCTGCTGAGAACTGGCCTGCAACCCAGCCATGTGCCCTGACTGGGAGCATTTTTCTCTTCTTGAAATAATAAAGTGAAAGTATGTCAAAAAAAATGTTGCTTATTTTCTTCCATCTTCAGTATTGAAATGGCTACACAAAAATTCACCAATTTTGATAAGTTTTTACTTCAAATGCACATTGATGTCACATTGTAATCGAACAAAATTGTTTCCAGTGAAATTGAAAACAACTAAATGCTACTAGAGCCATCGGATGGAAAAGCGAGCAGACTTTTTGGACAACCCCATATAGAGAGCACTCGGCCCGGGCCTTCCTCATCTTCCCCTGAGCCCAGCGCCTGGGGCCCCGAATCCCGAGGGCCACCTGCGGAGGGGTCTCTGGAGAGCCCCGGAGGACAGGGCGTGAGCTGCCCGCGGCGTGGGGCGGCAAACTGGGAGCTGTCTCATCGCTTGGGAAGCCAGAGCAAGTGCAGACAGCTCCCTGACGCAGCCAGTGGGGGGGGGGGGGGGGCAGGTGTGCCCGACAGTCCCCTCCCCACCCTGCAGACTCCCAAGGCCTAGAGGCAGGGGAAGCCCCGTGGTGAGCACCCCAGGGACCCAGGGTCCCTCCCGAGGCATCCAGACCCCACAGCCATCCCGGCCCCACAGCAGGAGGGCTCCCTGGGTGGGCGGAGCCTCCAGGAAACTGCGTGGCCACAGCGCTGTCCCCTGTAGCAGGCGGGAGCCGCCCTCCCCTCCCTGGGCCAAACCCATCTCCTGCCCATCCCAACCTCCCGTATCCAGCGCGGGAGCCCGCCTTCTGCTAGTGAGGCGGACCCAGCTGTCGCAGCACAGGGAGGCCGGGCAGCACCCTCCCGCCGGGGCAGGCAGAGGGCCCCGGGAGGGCTGCTGCTGCAGGGCTCGGCGGTGCCTCCTGGAGGAGCCAACAGGGACCAACCCCTCACCATTAAAAAGACAAAAATCCTCTCGAGTAAAACGGGTCGGCTCAGCAGAACTGGTACCCCACCCCCCAGAACTAAGAGGCAGAGGGAGGGGCTCGCCCGAGCCTGCAGGGCCCTCAGCCCAGTCCAGGGCCCTGGGCCCCACTCGTGGTCCCGCACACGGGTGGTCCCGCACACGGGTGGTCCCGCACATGCGCCTGCTCAGACCTTTGGACTTAGGGCAGGCCATGCTGACGAGGCTGCCCACAGACGTGGACAGCACAGCAGAGGGTAGCAGGCCACCAGGTCTACTGCCCCGTGGAGTCAGGCCTGCTCCGCAGCCAGGGTCTGGTGGGTGTCAGAGCAGGGGCAGCTCCGGGCGGGTGGGGTGTGGGCTCCTGCCTCAGGGGCACCTGTGCATTTTCTCCGTGGCCCACGGAGAGGGCGCCCTGGAGACCCGGCCTGGTTAACAGGCCCCTGGGTGGGGGAGCCGGTCGTGGGGGCTGGGAAGAGGGGGAGAAGGGGACAGAGGGGCAGGGCCCAGTTTCAGGGGTCCCACGGGAACAGAGCTCCTCCGAGGACCCTAAGGGTCTGGGCCCTGTGGACAGGGGAAGGCTGCCCTCCAGGTGAGGCCCAGGGCGCACGGACGTGGTGGCTGTGCTGGGCGGAGCCCTCCCGTGGGTGTGCAGGCAGCCCCCGCCTGCCGCCCAGGCTCCCGCTGCAGGCACGTGCTGAAGAAGCACCTGCCCCCCTGCCCTTGGGGTCCTGCCCGTGCCCCACATCCCAGGCACCTCACCCAGGACATGGTGTCCCGGGATGCAACCATCTGTCAGCAGCCGGGCGCACCCCGAGGCCCGCCCTCCTGGCCAGCTCCCGGCTGAGGTAGGCGAGAGCAGGGAAAGGGCCGCACACCATGCGGCAGCGCCCGTGACCCTGGCCAGGTCCGACCTCAGTGTCCCCTGCCACCGGCCCTGTCCACTCCTCCGTGGCCACAGCGGCATGGTGTCCGCGATGGGACCCTGCAGTCCTGTCCCGGCCAGCTGAGCAGGGGCCTTGAGGGGTTGTGACCTGGCTGTGACCTCAGGGAGGCCCCAGCTTTGGACCCAGGAAGGAGGGGGGGTCTACTCTGTGGAGCTGCCCTCCTGTGTCCGGCAGAAAGTCACCCAGAGAGGCCCACTGGTGCCCCTGCCAGCCCCAGCCCACCCTCTGTCCCCCTCCCTGTGCCCCTGCCCCCGCTCCAAACCCGGGCCCCCACTGCGGTCTCCAGGTTTCTCCTTCTGCAATCTTCCCAACCATTGCGGGGCCTATGGCGCCACCTGGTGGTCCAGTCAGGAATGGCAGGCCGCTTGACCTGGGGACGCTGAGGAGGCTGAGGTTCCCTACCCCTGGCCTGCAGATCCCCCAGCGGACAGGAGAGACCGCTGCCTGCAGCCTGAGCTGCTGGCCCCCAGAGCCCCAGCCGGGGTCGGACTTGGACAGAGGGCCCGCAGCTGCGGGCTGTGCTTGTGTGAAGTGTGGGGCAGGCCCAGGCCTGCCAGGGCCGGAGAGCCGGCCTAGGAGTGGGGCACCCCCCCCCACCCCCACCCCCAGTGGGCTGTGCTGGCCTAGCCGTCACTGGATTCTGACCCGGTTCTTTCCACAGCTGCCCCTCCCCCCACACTGGAGCCCAGTCCCAGGGCCCTGCCCCGTGCTCCTCTCCGGCACTCCAACCTCCAGCTCATTCCACGCGGATTGCCTGCCTCGGCCAACACTTTAATGAGGAAAAGTACAGAAAGCGGCTCCCCTTCCCTCGCACACGCCTGCCCTCCAGGCCCGTCCCCACCCAGCCCCCTGGCCCCTCGCTGCCCCGGCCCTGGGCTACTGGGGGCCCGCTCTGCGTCCCGCGGCTCAGCCGGGTGGCAGGTAGGTTCTCCCTGGGGCTGGAGGGAGGAAAGAAGCCCCTCAGGGCGGGAGGTTCCCGACACAATGCTCAGCGGAGCTGGGAGGCCGAACGTCCAGATTCTCCTTTTCTTTCCTGAGATTCCACGCTTTCCTGGTGGGCTCTTCCCAGCAGCCCTGCCCTCTGGCCTCCCCCGGGCTCTGGGCAGTGCCCTCCAGCCCTGAGGACGGGCTCCGGGCCGGTGTGGGAGTCGGGTGGGAGGCTTCACCATCCGTGGCCGTGTGGCTCGGCAGGGCCAGCCCGGGGTGCCCTGGGCTAGGAGCTGGGGTCTGGAAGACACAGAGCGCAGTGTGTTGCTGCTGGTCCAGAGGATCGGCGGCAGTTATTGTGAAGGTCACGCAGCAAGGGAGTCAGGCTCGCGGGCTCTGCCACTGGGGGCTCGGGTTCAAGTTCCGAGCCCCCAGGTGCTCTCAGAGCTCAGGCAGAGCCCTTCCCGGACCCCGGGGCAAACCGACCTGCCCGGACCCTGGCGTCTGCCCTGGCCGGACCTCCGGGAAGCTCCCCCAGTGCTGGGCACAGGGAGCTCAGGCCCCGGAGTGGGTGGGAGGGGGCCCTGGGCCAGAGCGGCACAGAGGATGATTCTGAATAATTACAGGGTTCCGGGTTATTGCTTATCTATCGATTTGTGAGGATGTTTCGGTTCTACGGGGGGAAATGTCTTCTCGCCAGCATGCGTCATTTGCTTTGCTGGGAAGTTTACCAGCGGGAGGGTCAGCGTGGCTTTGAGGACACCAGAGGTCCGGCTGCGGGTGTATTCAGGAGGGCATGACACGGAAGCAGCCCCCCCCACCCTGCACTCCCCACTGAAAGGTGTCAGGAGCCCACCCTGGGCAGCCGAGGTGGGTGACACGGAGCCCCTATACCAAGAGCGGCTTGTCAATGACACAGTGCAAATGGCATGTAAGTAGACAGGCAGTCAGGGCCCCAGGAGGGCCAGTGACAGCCAGGTTCCAGGAGAGGCCACAGGCGGCTGCTCAGAGAACCCCAGCATTCTGGCCAGTCACTGCAGAGAGGGTGGGTCCCCTGCGGGCCCCCAGGAGGCAAGCAGGTGGTCCCTCCTCTGACTCCCCCCCTCCCGGCCTGGCCTTACCTGTGACCAGGAGCGTGGCCGTGCTAATGGCCTGGCCCAGGGCGTTCTCGGCCACGGCCTTGTACAGGCCACTGTCCTCGAGGGAGACGCTGGCGATGACCAGGGAGCAGACGCCCAGCGTGTCGGTGCTGTACGCCGCGGGGCTTCCGTCCAGGTTCTCGCCGTTCCTGAACCAGGTGACGCGGGGTGGGGGCCAGCCCCGCACGGCGCAGGTCATGCGGCACTCGCAGCCGGCCGGCAGCAGGTGGGAGCGCAGGCCCACGGCGAACCAGGGCTTCTGCCTGCGGCTGGGCTCCCGGTGGCTGGCGGCCTTCACCGTGACCGTGTCTGTGGGTCAGACAGGAGCGGGACAGCTGGCTGGGGACAGCAGGGCAGGGTGTGCCTGCAGGAACCCAGGCACCTCCCTCCTGCAAGTCCCGCCCCCCGGGGGCTCACCTCGCTGCCTCGGCAAGCACCAGGGCTGGCTGGTGTCGGAGGGCTCGCTGGCCCCCAGCTCGTTCTTGGCCACCACTCGGAAGTAGTACTCGCGGCCGGGAAGGACGCCCAGGAGGGTGAAGCGGTTCGTGTAGACGCGGCTGGCCGCCTCTCGCCAGGGGCCGCTCCCCGAGCAGCGCGTCAGCACCGTGTAGTGCAGAGGCACACCCTTGGCCTCGCTGGGGGACGGCTCCCACTCGGCCGTCACCGTTCCCGGCACGTTCTCCTTCAGGGTGATGGGCCCGGGCGCCATCGGCTTCACTGCGGGGCAGAGGCCAGAGGAGCGGGGTTTGGGGCACCCAGAAGGGCGCCTGCGGAGGCCCGTGGGCATCAGCGTGACCCTCCCCGGGGCCCCGCCTCTTGTCGGGGGGCGGGGGGTAGTCTTGCTGGGTGGGAACCTGCCGCCAGAGGGCCCTCTCTGCAGGGCTGGTGCCTCCCCTGCGTCCGTAAGTGACCGGACCCAGGACAGGGACAGCTGGGCTCTCTGTCCAGTGACAGAGCCCCGCTAGTGGTTTGCTCCTGCCTTCCGGGGACCGCCTCCCAGGCAGGCTGTGGGGACAGCGGCCACACCTCCCATGAGAACCGCAGGCAGGTCTCCCTGGGGCTCTGAGGGACGTTGGGGGGATGACTACCTGTCTTCCCAGACCCAAAGGCATGAGTAACCAACGTCCCGATGGGGGCTCCCTGTCCCCGAGCCCCTGGGCAGGAGCACGGTGAACCCCCGACTCCCCGGGGCCCCCCTCCTGTCAGGCATCAGCACCGAGGGCGCTGGGGTGGGGTCTCTGCGTGGCCTGGCCCCCGGCCCGGGCCGCCTCACCTGCCACCCTGAGGAAGAAGGTGTAGGTGGCCTCCTGGCCCTGCAGGCCCCTCAGCACCACGGTGTAGGAGCCACTGTCTGCGAGGCTGGCCACCGGCACCAGGAGCTGCGTGAGGCCGTCCTCCGTGGAGGTCACGTATCTTCTGGGCAGGAGCAGGCCGTCCTTCAGCCAGGTCACCTCCGGCAGGGGGGCAGCCTGGGGGCCGAGAGGGAAAGCCGCGGCCTGTGAGTGGGACCGAGGGGTGGGGCCTGGGAGGGGCCGGGGCCTTCAGGGGCCGCCTCCTCCCTCCTTCCTGGCTCTGGCCTGACACCTGGCACGAGCCCCGGGCACTGACCGGGGACCGGAGGGGACCACAGGGCTGCGTCTGGCTCCCTCAGGCGCAACGGCCTCCTCTCCACGCCCGCAAGGCAGACACACTCACTTCAAAGGTGACGGGCACGCGGACAGTGTCCCCAACGCTGACCACCAGCGAGTCCTTCGTGCTGGAGTCCATGAGGAACTTGGGACAGACTGCAACACACGAGATGGCCTGTCACCTCCCTCTGCAGGGGGGCCCTGGGCCAGCTGGCTGGGCCGGGCTCACCGATGCGGAGACCCCACGGGACGGGTGTCCGCCTACGGCCGGGAGGGAGCTGGGCGGGAAGGGTCAGGGGAGACGGGAGCAGGGGTGGGCGCAGAGAAGGTCAGGCCGGGCCACCCGGGTCTGAGGCCGGAGGTGACCCGCCTCCGCCCCCAGGGATGGGGCACAGCCTGGACGGGGCCCCGAGATTCTGGACTCGGGTGCGGTGTCTGCTCTCTGGGCACGTCTCCCTTATGGTCACAGCGACACCAGGGGCCGCTGCGGTGGCCTGGGTCGGCCTGGGGTGGAGATGGGCCCGCTGCTTCCACAGCCCGAGGAGCAAGGCCGGCCACCCGTGGACGACAGGAGGCTGGGTCCCGGGGACCCCCAAGCGGACTGTGCTGGGCAGCGCCTGTGACTCCCAGGCTGGGCGCGTGGGGGCCAGGCTGGCCTCTGGGGTCGGTGGCCTGCTTTAAATCCTGTCTCTGCCCCGGCTGGCCTGAGACCCCAGGCAAAGGGCCTGGTCTGTGGACAGGGGTTACAAACCCTGACCTCGCGGGAGATTTACGAGTTGTCACGAGAAAGCATTTCTGAGAAAGAGCCTGCCTGGCACCTGGTGGGTGCTCAGTGAGCATCACGTGATTGAACTGGGAGGAGGGGACCACGGCTCTGCGACAGAAGGGTCCCACGGGGAGCTGGCACTCACCAGACACGGGCGAGGCCTGCACCAGCATGTCCAGCGCCGTGGGCGGGCCGCGGCCCCCCTCGTTCACTGCGACGACCCGCACGAAGTAGCCCTCCCGGGGCCGGAGCCCCTTGGCTGTGTAGGCGGTGGCGAGCAGGGTGCCGGCGTGGCACGGGGCCCACTCCAGGCTGTCCGAGGGGCACAGCTCCACCAAGTACCCCTGCGCTTCGTCCCCGTCCCCCGAGTCCGGCTGGGCCCAGCGCAGGCTGATGCTGGCGTGTGACGTGCCTGTGACCTGGAGGTCCCGCACCGGCCCAGGCGGTCCTGGCCGGGCGCCGCAGGGCGTCAGGAATGGCACCTCCTCCGGGCAGCCTCCCCGACTCCTCCACGTGTCCGACCCCTGCCAGCCCCTTCCCTTAACCATCCTCCTGGGGCTCCCGACCCCTGGCGTTGCCATGGGCGGCGTCTCAGGCTGGGAGACCCCGGACACTAGCGCCCTGTACCTGTCTGCCCGAGCTCTAAGCTGCTGGTCACCCCTGCCTCCCACGGAGGGTCCAGAGCTGCCTTCCCCGGTCTGTGTGCCTCCCCTTGAGGGTTTGGAAGGTGTTTTGTGGAAGAGGTATTCTCTGCTTAGATTTGGGCAGTTCGGGTCAAACTACAGCAAGTGGGGCCGGCCTCCTTCCTGTAGGAGGGCGGATTCCCTGGCTCCGCGTCAAACATCTTTGGTCACGGATCTCTGGCTGTGGCTGTCAGTCTCAGTGTCTGCGGCCCCTCGGGTGCCCTGCTGTTCCCGGGACTGAGCACAGGGAGGCGCTGTTCCAGACCGGAGGCTCCTCAAAGGCAGACGGCGTTGTCGGGAACCCTGTTCCCACACAGGCTAGTCCCTCGGGCGAGCAGCTGGCAGTGGCTTCTGTGACCCTGCCCACCCCGCAGCGGTGACGGCCCCTCCTTCAGGTGAGCATGTGGTTCCAGGACGGGACAGTGGGTCAGTTGGGGGCCCATCTGCCCAGGTGAGGAGGGAGGGGTGTGACCCGGCTGCCTGGCCTCAGGCCTGTGTGGTCTCAGTGTGGGGCCGGAGCCTTCCCCAGCCCCTGAGCTGCACCTCGCCCTGAGGCCTTCGACCTTGATCTTCCAGCCCTCCTGGCCGTTCCCTGAGACTGTCCTTGACCTGTGGCCACCTGTCCTGTCCCGCAGGCTGCACGGCCACCCCCAGCTCACCTCCGCCACCCTCACTCTGGGTCACTGCCCCACTTACTCATGGGGTCCCGCGCAAAGACGGGATCTGACGGGGGCCCGGGCTGCCCGGGGCCGGAGGGAGCCATGGCCGTGACCCGGAACTCGTACTGGCAGTCGGGCCTCAGGTCGGTCACGGTCCACTTGCGCTCTGTGAAGGCCACGTCAGTGCCATGTCAGTGCCGTCGGATGGCCCAGCCACTGGACGCAGGCGGTGCCTGGAGAAGATGCGCCTGGGGCTCCGACCCGACCCCCCGCCAGGGGGCACCCAGGCCTCTCCACTGGGGAGGGCGCTGCCCCGGGTGTCAGGCCGGAGTCCCCGCCGTGGACGTGACCCTGGTCGGGGGCACGTGCCCGACCTCTCACACTGCAGGTGTGAGAGCTGAGGTCTGGGCAAGAGGATGAGCTGCCTGGGGCAGGCGGACGGGCAGGGGGCCGCTCCATCGCCGGCCTCCTTCCCGAGACGCCCTTGAACCCAGGGCCTTCCCTACCCCCGGCACAATGGACATTTTAGCCGCATGAGTCTGTGCTGGGGAAGTGGGGGGAGGGGCTGTCCTGTGGGTCACTGGGTGTTCAGTGGCATCTCTGCCCAGTTCGCACCGCGTGTCACTTCCCCACTTCAGAGGTGACAATTCGAAATGGTCAGGCATTGCCCGATGTCCCCAGGAGCAGAGCCACCTGGGGGCACCCAGGGTACTAGATCTGGCAAGAGGGCACGCCAGGACCCGGGGCTGGGGGGCTGCCTTGGGACAGGGGGGAGGCCAGGCGCCGGCTGCTTACCCGGCACGGGCTGGTCGGCCACGGCCGTCCACGTGTTGCTTCCTTTCTTGCGCTTCTCAATCAGGTAGCCCAGGAGGTGGGCGCTGCCCGGGCCGCGGGGCGCCGTCCAAGTCAGAGTAATGCTCTTGCTGGAGGCTGACAGGATGCTGGGGGCCGAGGGGGGCCCGGGGAGTGCTGGGGGCAGAGGGGGCGGTCAGCCAGAGGCCGAACCTGGGGCTGGAGTGGGGCATCTGGTGGGGCACACTCTGTCCCTTCCTGGGAAGCGCTGGGGGCTGAGCCCGCCGCTGCTTGGGGACATCGTTCTGTCTCCTCAGGGAGTGACAGGAACAGACAAGCTCGGCAGCCCAGGGGCACAGCGGGCCCCCTTGTTCAGGAAGAAGGCTCCAGATGGGGCACCCACGGAGATGATGCCAGCCCACCCAGGGTCCTGAGAGTGGGCGCGCTGCGTGCCAGTCCGTCCCCTCTGCCCGGAGAGCCACAGCTGGGAAGGACCCCATCAACCTGGCTCCCAGGCCCCATGGTGCCTTCCATGGGCCAGAGACCCTTCCCCGCCCAGAATGGTCCCCCCGGCCAGAGTCCTCTCACCCTCGGGAGCCACCAGCACCTCCTCTGACTCCAGGGCCTCCCCAGGCCCCTCTGAGGTCACGGCCCGCACTCGGAAGGTGTACTTCCTGCCCTGCTCCACATTGGCGTCCGTGAAGCTGGTGCTGTCTGCCGGGGGCTCGCCCACCTTCAGCCACGTGCTGCGGCCCGCCTGCTGCCTCTCCACCACGTAGCGGTCCACTGCCCGGCCCCCGTCATCCCGCGGGGGCCGCCAGCGCAGGCAGACCCCAGACCCCCGGCAGTGCTGCACCTCCAAGGGGCCCTGGGGCGGCTGGGGCTTGTCTGGGACCCAGGAGAGCAGAGGAAGGGACCGGCGTCAGAGGGGCTGCAGCTGAGCCGGCTGGGCCCCCTGTCAGCGGAGAAGCCTGCCCTGGGGACTTGCACGCACACACACTCACACTCACACTCACATGCCCAGCACAGCCCCATAGGGAGTGCCAGCCCTGGCCGGCCGCCCCCCTCCGCCCTCCCGCCCACCTTGCGGGCACCATTCCTGCCGAGGCCCCATCCCACCCAGCGGGGCTCTCCTAGGACGCCACCCAGGGCCCGTCCCGTGTCGGCACAGCCAGCCCTCCACCCGTGGGAGCTGCTTCTTCCTGCCCAGGCCATGGAGGGTGGGGAGGGGACCGGCAGGGCAGGCGGTGTCTAAACAGCCAGCAGGGGGCGCCCGGAGCCGTGGCCCCCCGCAACAGGAGGCAGGCAGGCACCTATGACTTGCACTGTGACCTCGGCCTGAGTGGAGCCTCCCTTGCTCCTCAGCGTCACGCTATAGCGACCGCTGTCCTTCCTGCTGACGCTGGGGAGGCACAGCCGGGTGAAGTCCTCGGCCAGGGCCACCTGGGCCCGCCTGCCGCCAGAACCGTCCACCTCGACCCCGCCCTTCGTCCAGGAGGCTTGCACCGGCAGGCGGCTCTGGAAGGAGACCTTCACGGTCAGCGGCTTCCCTGCCTTCACCACCAGCGGCTCCTTCAGCCGCTCGGCCACATCCGGCGCGATGACAGGGGGATCTAGGGAGGGCACAGAGCCAGGGGTCAAAGAGGCCAGGGCTCCAGCGCCAGAGTTCGGGTCAGGAGGCAGGCGCCCCACCCCTCACCTATTGAGGGCTAATGGGGGGGGGGTCTCATCTCCAGCAGGAAGGACCCCCTGACAATGAGTTTTAAAATCGTCTCCTCCAAACTGGATGCAGGCCAACCACACACCCAGGTGACCACGTATCACCTGGGGCAGACGGCCAGGTGGGCCCACCCAGGTGGGGCAGGGTGGGCCGGGCCTCACCTCGGACGGTCAGGGTGGCCTCGCTCTTCTGGCCGCCGGCCTCAAAGGCGTAGGTCCCTGCGTGGGCCTCCTGCACGTGGGTGATGAGGAGCCGGTGCACCAGCGCGTCCTGCTCCACCACGAGTCCGTCCAGGGTGTCGAGCTGGGGACAGGCCACGGCGGAGCCGGTCAGCCCCAGCCCGGGGCTCCTCCAGGCCCGGCAACCAGACGGGACCCACGTGGGACCGAGGCCCAGCCACGCAAGGGCGCTCTGCTCTGCCACCTTGCTGGGTGGCCGCTGCGCCCTCCCTCGGCCAGGGGCCATTTGTGGCCCCAGTTGTACACGGAACCAGAGGCCACACACGTGGCCCTGGAAGCCCGAGCTCTGAAGCACTGTGACGGGCCCCCCGCCCGAGATGACAGCCAGACTGGAGGACAGATGGCTGTCCCGGGGCCAGGAGATCTCGGCTGGCAGGGCCGACAGGGTGGCGTCTGTGTGGGACATGCAGGGCACTCAGAAGACGACAGGTGTGCAGCAGAAGCAGCATTTGGGGCAGCTGAGAGCTCGGGGTAGGGGGCGGTGACCGGGACACGGGAGTCTGAAGTCCTCCGCATTGTAAACACCCAGGCTCTTAAACTCCCGGAGGCACTGGGACATTGGAGGACAAATGTGCCCCCCCCTGCCGCCCTCTGCCCCCGCCCCCACCTGGCTGGTAGACGTGAAGGGATGGTACCTTGACTCCGTCCTTAAACCAGGTGCCAGGTCCCAGGTCCCGGCTGAGAATGCAGGACAGCACGGCTGCCTCCCCCAGCTTGGCCTCCGTGTCAGCCAGGCCCTGGGAGAAGTGGCCCCGGGGGCCTGGAAAGACACAGACAGAGGCTGGGGACCATTGCTCAGGCCCCCAAGGCCCGGCCTCCCTGGCCGTGGCCCACAGGGCACCCTGGTAAGCTACACTGCGAGCTACACTCTGACAGGGGCAGCAGGCAGCCCCCCATTCTTCTCAGCAGGACCTGGCCAGCATGAAGTCCTGGGGTGCACGGGGGTGAGGGACCCCTGAGCCTCAGAGATGCGTGTCAGGGTGACCCACCGAGTCAGTGGGACAACTCGGACTCGGATTTCGTGTATCTGGACAGAAGCTCAGGAGACTCCCAGCCCCTTGGTCGGGATCCCACCTGAGCAAGGAGGGGAGGGCTGCTTCCTGGACTGGGGGGAGGAGCCCCTCAAATGGGAGCACTGCTAGGGAAACCGCCGGGGGCGGGAGGCAGAACCGGGACCGGGCCAGGCTCCCCTGTGTGTGGAGGAGCCCCGGCTGGGCAAGAGCACCCACCTCGGGCTTCCTCGAAGAGACCAGCAGTGCCCGGCTTGCGTCTGGATCGGGGACTCCGGGTGGTGTCCTCCTCTTGACCATCAATGTCCAGCCTGCCCTCCGTGCGACTTCTGCTGCCACCCAGGTGACGCGAGGGCTCCCGGCTCCTGTCTTCACTCGGAGTCTCCCCAGCGCACCCTGTGTCCCTTCCTCCAGGCTGCTGGCCCTTGGCCTCTGGTGTCATCTGGTTCCTGACCCTCTGTGGCCCTGCCCTTGGTGCCCCGCTGTGCTCGGGACCTGCCCCCAAGTGGGCCAGGCCTGTCTGACCCTCCAGATTCAGATGCTCCCTGTCCCTTGTCCTCCTTCAGGGACCCTGGGCCTCTGCTCTTGTCATTCTCGGCCTCCAGGGGTGTCGACTTCCCCAAGGGCCCCCTGTCTCCTCTCTGTCCTCTGCCAAGTGGGGAGCCCAGGCCCTCAGTGTCCCTGGACCTGTCTCCAGAGTCTTTGCTGCCCATAGGACCTTCTAGGCCACTCCGGGATCCATCCAAGTCCCTCGGGCCAGCAGACCTGTTTCTTCCAAGGGCCGCGGCTTTGCTGTCTGGGAACTCCAGGCCTTGTCCCCGACCGGCCTCTCCGTGGCCTGCGACCCCCGCCTGACCCCCGGACCCGGGTGGCTGGGCCCCAGCTGCCGCCCCGCCCCCTTCAGACCCTTGGTCCTTCCTGCCTGTGCCCCGAGCGTGCTTCAGTCCTGGCCCAGTTGACGCCTCGGACACGGATCTGCCCCTCTCCCTGGGCGCCGGGCCGCCATCCAGACCTTGGCCTGAGCTCCTCCCCGATGCTTCCGCCACCTTCCCGCCTCCTGGTGAGCCCTCCGCTCCCCGAGGCCCCGGTCCCCGCTGGCCTGCCGCCCCATGCCTGCCTGCTGCTCCCGGACCTGCCCTCCCGGAGTCCCCTTCCTGTCTGGATCCCGGAGCGGCGGCCCCTGCCCAGGTGTCCCCGTCTACTGCCCCCCGACCATCACGAGAGCCAGAAGCCCCCATGCTCCCTGCCTGGCCTGCAGACCCCCCCTCCTCAGTGGCAGCGCCACTGCCTCCAGGGCCGACCCTGGAGCCCTGCCCAGCCACAGCCGCTGCCACTCCGGGCACCCCAGAGCCCACCCCGGGGCTGGCCCCGTCCACCAGCCCCGGTCCCCTGCCCTTCTTGGGATCCTCCGTGGAGCTGGTGCCTCTGTAAGGCCCCTCTGATGCGGCCCAATTCCCTGACCCGGGCCCGTGGGCTTCTCCTCCCCGGGGCCCACCCTCGTGGGCCCCTGCGCCCAGAGAGCCTGTTAGCCCACTTCCCCCGGGACCACCTCTGTAGCCCTTCTCACTCTCTGGCCCAGTTTCCGCAGACCCTCCTGAGCCCCCTCTGGGCCCTGCCTGGCTCCCGGATCCCATTCCCTTAGAGCCCCCCAAAGCATCCCTGTGACCCACCCCATCTACTGACTCCATGGCCCCAGCACCCCCTGTTCCATTCCTGTGACCTGCCTGGCTCCCGGATCCCATTCCCTTAGAGCCCCCCAAAACATCCCTGTGACCCACCCCATCTACTGACTCCATGGCCCCAGCACCCCCTGTTCCATCCCTGTGACCTGCCTGGCTCCCGGATCCCATTCCCTTAGAGCCCCCCAAAACATCCCTGTGACCCATCCCATCTACTGACTCCATGGCCCCAGCACCCCCTGTTCCATCCCTATGACCTGCCTGGCTCCCGGATCCTATTCCCTTAGAGCCCCCCAAAGCATCCCTGTGACCCACCCCATCTATTGATTCCATGGCCCCAGCACCCCCTGTTCCATCCCTGTGACCTGCCTGGCTCCCGGATCCCATTCCCTTAGAGCCCCCCAAAACATCCCTGTGACCCACCCCATCTACTGACTCCATGGCCCCAGCACCCCCTGTCCCGTCCCTGTGACCTGCCTCGCTCCCAGATCCCACACCTCCGAGGCCCCCTGGGACGTCTCTGAAGCCTGCCTCCCCCACTGACCCCGCACCCCTGGGCCCTGGACCCCTCGCTTTTCCTCCAGAACCTTCCGCAAGCTGTGACCCTGGGATCCCCAACCCTTCCCCACAGCCCAGCACACGAGCCAGCCCACCGGGCCCCTGGCTCTCAGAACCGACCCCTGAGTCCCAAGCCTGTGCCTCGGGGCACCCGGACTCCCCCCAGCGACCTGCTCCAGCTCCAGGGGCCCCGGCGCCTGGCCCCTTGGTGCCAACACTCCCTCTGCCCCCTGCTCCCAGGGCGCCCAGGCCCCCAGGGCCTCCTTCTCCAGGGGCCCCCATCACCCCTGAGGCTCCGAAGCCTCCACCTGCTCCAGGCAAACCGCAAGGCCCTGTACTCCCCGAGCCCCCCCGCTCCGCTGCTGCACCCTTCCCCCCTGCGGTCTCCCCTGCTGCAGTGGCCCCAAGTCCCCCTCGCCCCCAAGGGCTGGCATCGCCCTGGGCTCGGGATGCGTCCCAGGTTTCTGGGTGCACCCTGGCTCCCTCAGGGCCCCTCTGGAGACCAGCAGGTGTCCCCGGCCCGCTCCAGGCAGAGCCGCTGCCCTCTCGGTTTCCAGCCCGCCAGCCATCCCCATGACCACCCCTCTCCTCAGGCCCTGCTTCCCCTGGGGCCCCGGGTCTGGGAGCAGAGCCCATTCCCAGCGTGCCGGAGCCCTCGCGGTACCCAGCCCCATCCTGGGCGCCTGCTCCCCTGAAATTCCCCAGGGTGCTGCCGTCCTGGGGTCCCATTAAGCTGGCCTCAGAGCCCATTCCACCTCTGGGCCCTCCTTCCCCGAAGCTCCATGACCCGTCGCAGAAATCTGGCCCAGGCCCCGTGGCCCCCTGACCTCCTGCTCCATCCACACCTCCCCGAGTCCCCCAGGGCCCCTGGACACCCTGGTTTGGGGAGCCAGGTAGCCAGTGGTTGCCGGCATCGCCCCTCTGACCAGACACTGTCAGCCCGGGTGCCTGGGCACCAGCTGCCCCCTCTCTCCCGCCCCCTGATCCCTCGACGCCAGGCCCTGGGTGCACCCCCACTCGGCTGAGGCCGAACCCTGCATCACCCCAGGGTCCTGGGTCCCCTGCCTCCTTTCGGCCACCACCCTCGGCTCCCGTCCTCCCGGGGGGGCCCTGGAGGCTCCTGCCATCCCCTGCCTTGCCCGAGGCCCCCAGCGCCCCATGGCCCTGGCTTGTCCAGCCCCCAGGACCTCCAGGGCCTTCAGGACCAGTTTTGTAGCTCCGACCCTCACCCACAGGCTCCCGGGGGCCCCACCCGTTGGCCTCCTGCCCTGAGCCCTCAGCACGCCCACGCCCCAGGAGGTTTCTGCCTCCTGATACCGCAGGGCCCACAAGGTCCTGGCCGGCAGGTGTCTGTCCTACAGACTGTCCTGGGGCCCCAAAGCCCTGGGCTCCCCCCTGGTCACCAGCACCCCATCCCCGAGAGCCCCAGGCCCCAGGGCCCCTGCCTGCCTCAGAGCTGGGCCCCCCGCTCTCAGGGGACCCCGGGGCGCCTGGACCTAGTCCCGCCGCGGAGCCGCTCCCAGGCCGCCCCAGGCGCCCCTCCTGCTGTAAGTTCTCCGCCCCCTCCCCCTCTGGCCCAGACCCCCTGGGACCGGGCTGCCACCCCTGCAAGGCCCTCTTTCCTGCCCCAGGGCCCAGCTGAGCCCCCCAGAGCTGTCCCTGGCTGTCCCTGTCCAGCTGGTTCCTATTGTCCCCTCTGTGCCCCTGTCCTTCCCCACTGCCCCCCGGTCCTCCAGCCACATGGGGCTGGGACCCAGCACCCCAGCCCTCTGCTGACCCACCGCGCCAGTCCCCATCACTGTCTCTGCCCTGCTGTAGCTGGTGACCATCTGGGCGGCCCAGCCCGGATCCCGCACCCTCTCCCTGTGGGTGGGGCCTCCCCTCAAGGCTTGTGTCCCAGCCCCTGTCCTTGTAGACCTGGTCCTCTCCGAGGAGAGTGGCCCTGTGTCCATCTGCTTCCAGAGAGCCATTTCCTGCCTGCCCAGGTCCCCAAGCTGCCCCCTCGTTCCCTGTCGAGGACTGGCCAAGCCCCCCAAGGCTGCCTCCCTCTAGGCCGGCGGTGAGCTGGAGCCCTGGAGCCCTTCCAGCAGCCTCAAGGGCGCCCCCCATGGGGCCCTTCTCTCTGGGCCCCCCACCCTGGCCCCTGGGGCTCCTGGACTCTCCCTCATCTGCGGTCAGGGCTCCTTGCGCCTGAACTTGGTGGTCGGTGCCTGTGGGTGGAAAGCCTTTGTCCTTGCCAGCTTTGGTGACAGGTCGCCGTCCCCATGGAGAGACAGAGAAAAGAGCCGTGAAGTCGGGCTGATTGTCACTTGTCCAAACCCAAGTGGCCATCTCCCAACCCTCAGTTTCCCAGCAGGGACACAAGCGGTCCTGCACCTACCGCCCCACGCTGCCACGTGGGGGTCCAGAGGACTTCAGGGGAAAGTACACAAGCCGTCACGTGCTCATCAAAATGCTCGTCCCCCCAAGGCTGGGGTTCTTGGGCCTCCTCCAAGGACTTCTCATCCACTGGACCTGGGTCCCTGTGTCAAGCCCTGACCAGGACCCTGGGGCCACCTTGGACCTTTGTCCCCAGAGGAATCGCACAGACCCCACGGAGCAGAGGCAGCTGGTGGGGACAGGGTTGGCTGTGAAAGCCCCACACTGCAGGGGGGCTGGACGGGCCTAAGGGGTGGAGGTGCCGTCCAGGGCATGCGTGACCCAAGGCAGCCCCTGCCCCGCCTCCCGAGTGCCGCCCGGGGCCTGACGTCTGACCTTGGCCGAGGCAGGGCGGGGGGTCCACTCACCTTCCACCACCAGCCAGGCGGTAGAGGCCTGCAGCCCGGTGTCCAGGGAGTAGGGGCCCGCGTCTGAGGAGCAGACCCCCTTCACCACCAGCCGGTGCGTCTGCCCGTCGGGGGTCACAGACACTTCGTATTTGTCGCTGGGATGGAGCTGCCGGTGCTGGAACTTCCAGGAGGCGTCGGGGCAGGAGTTGGAAAGGACGCACTCGAAGACCGCATCGCCCCCCTCCTCACAGCGGGTCTCGGTCAGCGGGACCACCACGCTGGGCGGGATGGCTGTCGCGGGAGCGGGGACAGGAGGTCAGCTCAGCGGGGGGACAGAACGTGACCCCATGTGGTGGGGCTGGCCATCCAGAAACCCGGTTCCGACCGACTCAGCCACAAACCCTCTGGTCACCTTGGATGGGTCCCCTCTGTCCCCCATGCTGGTAAGAGGGGTGACAATTAGGCTATGGACATGGAGACTCTTTTGGGGTCTGGATTCTCTAACTCCAAATCCCCAGGCGGACCCGGGGACAAGGCGGGTGTGTGAGAATGCTGGTGCTCGGCGAGCGAGTACTCTGCACACGTCACCTTATCGGTCCTCCCGGTCACCTCCCGGGCAGGCATGGCTCTGTCCCTTTTACAGGTCAGAAAGTGCAGGCTTCAGAAGTCCAAGGGCCTGCCTGTCTCGCTGGGCTGAGAAGAGGCCCTGCCAAGCTCCACACCCAGGCCTGCGGGGGTCTCGCCCCTTCTCCCTCCACCCGCCTCGGCTTCCTTCCCCGGCCTCTCCTGCGGCCCACCAGCCCCCGAGGTGCTCGGGTGCTCAGCAGTGGCCTGTACCCGGCTGCTTGTGGGAACAGGACCAGGCTCGATGGGGAAGGGGGGACAGCGCCCAGGTGCAGGGAGGGCCTGGAGGCAGGGCGTTGCCTGGGCGCCAGCACTGTGGCCTAACCCGGAGGGTCCCTAGGGGTCACGGGCAAGGAGGGTGAGCCTGAGGAAGGAGCTGGCCACAGAGACTGACGAGGGCGGCACGGCCCAGCACGGCCCAGTCCCCAGGCTGAGAACCACCAACCTTGGCCAAGACTTTGGGAAATAGGTCATCATCGCAAAACCCTCAGTCGTGGGCTCCCCTCCCCACCGTCAATGTCACACTCATCTCTCTGCACCCGTGTGCCTGCCGTGGGCCCCGAAGCCCTGTCCCCACGCAGGGCGGCCCCTCACTGTCCGCCTCCAGCTCCGTGGTGAAGATCTCGACGTCCTCCACCTTGACCTCGTAGATGCCGGCGTCCTCCGGGCACAGGTCCTGGATCTGGAAGCTGTAGCGTTTCCCCAGCTGCTGCAAGCTGTGCTTGGCGTGGCCGTCGGAGCTGAAGGGGACTTCCTCTCCATCCTGGGGCCCGGAGACAAAAGGGGCTTCAGGACCTCTGTGGGCCCTCAGGACCTCCTGCCCCGTCCCACTCTGGCCCCCGGCACCCGGCCAGTGTCCCTGGGCCTTAGAGGAGGCGGGGCAGGGGAGAAGGGTGGGGCATGGTGAACAGACTGGAGGGAAATGAACCCTCTAGCAATGCACACGACTCCGACCACAGAGTCCAGTGCCCAGCAATCAGATGCCCACCGTGTGCCGGGTTCTGTGGCAGGCACTTGGGACAGACACACCAGGGAATGTGACAGACAGGGACCCTGCTCCCGGGGACACAGACACGTGCCAAACATCTGGAGTAGGTAGTGTATAGCGTGCTAGAACGCGGTAGAGCTGGGGGCAAGGAGAGAGAGGAGTGTGTGGATTCAGGGGTGCCCGGACGGGGCTGGGGGCCAGTGTCGCACAGGGCGGTCGGAAACGGCCCTGTGGGTTTCGGGGACGAGCTGGCGGGTGGAGGGAGCCGCTGAGCCAAGAAAAAGGGAGGAGGCCGGGGCAGAGTGAGGGAGGGCTCGTCACGCATCAGCTCATCAGGCCCACTTGGGACTGGCCCTACAGGTTCCTCCCATCACCAACCAGGAAACTGAGGCACAGCCAGTGAGGGGTGGAGCCAGGATGAGTTGGACCACAGAACCAGGGCTGTGTTTTGCTGCCCCTTCCACCTGCCCCAGTGAGGGGTAACTGCCCCTGGAGCCTGGGGAGGGATGGCCCCGTCTCTGGAGACAGACCACAGAGAACGGGCGCAGTTTCTCACAATCTCTTCCCACCCGCAGGTCCCGGTTGGAGAACCTGGCTGCTTCTGAGAGGCAAGAGGCCTCTGTGGCAATGTCTTGGCTGGGGCCTGAACTGACACCAGCCGGCATGCAGGGCTCACCACCTGTGCACGCCGTGGTCCCCGCAGGCGCACCCGGGGCACCCAGGACACCGAGGGCCTGGGCCCAGCTCCTGCAGCACCCCTCCCCGCAAGAGCCCGCCCCTTTCTCGGCCCCCTAGCCTCACCTTACACAGGGAGATCCTGCTCTGAGGGTCCTTGAGGTCCAGCTCCATTCCGAAGGAGGCCACTCCCCCCTTGCTGACGGCAATGTGGGTCATGTCGGAGGCACTGTGGAGGTACTAGGGACACAAGGCCCCCAGGAGAGCTTGCTACAGGGCGCCCCAGCCCCTCCGGCCCCAGACCCCCAAAAGCTCAGTCCAACACGCATCCCCCACTTCAGAAGGGGGACACGCAGCCCCACGAAGCAGAAAATTCTCCAAGAGGAGACAGTAGGTTGTGGGGGGGCAAGAGAGAACTGGGGTGCGTGCAGGGCTCCAAGACGGCAGGATGGCTCTTGTGTCGCCCCGTAAATGCGAGGGGAGCACCGGCTGTGCACCGAGTCCCGGGCTGGGGCCTGCGTTAAAGCAGACGAGGAAGTTTGGAGGAGAGAGAGCAAGGCCCGGGATGGCAGGGTTGGTGAAATATTGTTTTCAGGATGGTGAAGTCTAGTTGTCTGTGTTTCCAGAAGGAAAGTTAGAGAGAAACTGTAGTTGGGTTTGACACAGGAAAGAACTTCCTGTGTCCTTTATAAGACACTGGAATTGGGAGGCCAATGAGGACTGTGAAACCCCTTCCTTGGAAGGCTTTGGAAATAAGACAGGTCCCCAAGGTCTGTGAGGGGGGTGGACAATGATGGTGGTGGTGATTGATGGTGGTGGTGATGGTGATGGTCACGGTGGTGGTGATGCTGGTGGACAATGATGGTGGTGGTGATGGTGGTGGTGATGGCTGACAGAAGCCCTTACTAGGTGCCAGCACTCGGCTCGTACTCTCTGCAACCCCCTCCAAGCCCTGTGAGGTGGGCGTGACTCTAACACCCGAGTTGAGAATAAGGACACGAAGAGGGTGGCCCTGTCCTTCCAGAGCCCACATGTAGCGTCACAGACGGGTTCCAAAGCCAGGATGCCGACGGCCAGCCTGGGTCCTTGGCCGGACAGTGGGGCTAGAGGGGGGTGGAGGCCTCCCCAGGCCCGGCTCCCGGGGTTGGCCGGCGAGGCCTGTGCGGCGCGGGCACCTGTGCCAGCCTCTCCTCCCGCTCCTTGCGCATCTTCTCCAGCTTGCGCAGCATGCCGCGGAAGTCCACGATGCCGTACTTGAGGCACAGCCTCTCGTAGTCCTTCCGGTCTGCCGACAACAGCAGCTGCCACACCTGCTGCGGGTCCACGACTTTCTGGGCGGAGGGAGGCGGGGCCCTGGGGAGCAGGGCCGGCAGGTCAGAGGCCTGGGAGCCTCGGGAGCTGACACCCAGAGGGACCTGGGGGGCCACACTGACTGGGGTCTGGGGCTGACCGCGGCCCCAGCCTCCTGCACCGAACAGCTGGCATGGTGGGTTTCCAAGAGGGATGTGTTTAGGGGTGACTGTCCTGTCGCTTTAAAATGTGCTTTAGATTCCCTGTGCTAGTGGAGTGCCTGCTCCACCAAAGAGCCAATCAGGACCCGGGGACGGTGACGATTCACTCCAGACAGAGCTCAGGAGTGGCCAAGCTGCACCCAGAACCCCGCCTCCCTGCACCCTCTCCCCTCCCATCTGCACCTGCAGCCCGGTCACCCCCCTCGCCAGTGCCCAGGGTAGATTCAGGGGCTGAGCCCTGCATGCAAACAGAAGCTGCAGGGATGGTGACCTTGGCCCCGCCACCCCCACCTCCAGGCCCACACCCACCTCAGCGTGCTCCGTAAGTCCATCAGCTCCTGCCTCAGGTCTGCAGAAGGAAGGGGAGTGAGGCCCCCGCCCAAGGGTGGGCGTCCCAGGGGCCGAGGCAGGGCTCTCCTTTAGGAAGCGGGGTGGGGGGTGATGAAGGAGGCCATGTAGTCTGGGGACAGGTGAGGGCCCAGGACACCCCTGTGTGGGCCTGGCGAAGTTGGGGACACCAGACAAGGAGCCACCCATCCCCCCAAAGTTACCAAGAAGACCGCGGACAACCCCTCTGCCTACCTGTCTGGGGCTCCTCCCTCTTTCGTTTCTTCCGAAAGCCAACTTGACCATCCAGGAGGAGAGGGGTGTCATTTCGGGCCAGCAGTGGGGGAAGCCAGGCACACTGGACGTCTCTCTGAGGACAGGGTGCACCAGGGCCCTGGCCTCCCTGTCCCCCAAGGTGCAAGCACAGCCCAGCCACAGGGATGAGCAGGACGGAGGGTGTGTCTGACGTACACGTTGACACCCCACCCCTTCGGGGCGACCCACTCCGTGGTCTACAGGGGCCAGGTGGCAGCACACATGAGGGGCGTGCCCCCAAGGGCCACAGCTGACCCTCATCTGAAGGGGCAGCTGCCCCATCCTGCCCAGAGCATCCCGCAGCTGTTTGGCTGGCCCTGCAGCCATCTCCACCCCTCGGTCGCCCACGTCCCCGGCCGAGGTGCTCCCTCTCCTCCCCAGGCACAGCCTCTGCCTCCTCTCGGCCCCCAGTGGCCGAAGCAGGGAGGGGACGAGCCCACCTTCGATGACGGTGAGCCTGACCGTGCACAGGGCCTCTCCATACAGGTTCACGGCCATGCAGCGGTACACGTCTGTGTCCTCACCGGTCAGCTTGTTGATCTGTGGGGAGGCCAAGGGCAGGAAGGGTGGGGCCAGCCCTCTCCCCTCCTCTGTCACTGGACGTGGCTGTGGGCGAGGGGCGCAGAGGCCTGTCCTCGTGCCCAGAGAGCTGCCCGTGTTCCTCAGGAGAGACAGCCCACGGCGGAGTGCGGACACACCAGCTTCTGCCAGAGGCAGAGAAAGCCGTGTTTCAGGCACGTCGGGGGCCAGGTGTCCTCTCTGTACTGCATTTCAAGCTGTGTGACCTTGGGCAAGTTCCCCGACCTCTCTGAACCTTTGCTTCTTCCCTTCTAAGGTGAGGATAACAATACCTCCAACAGCAGCGAGTAGTCAGGATCACAAGACAACCTAGGAAAGCGGTTAGTCCAGGCTCCGGCACCTCGTAGGCATCTCATGATCGGCAGCTACCGTTCTTACTCATACTGACCCACGTGGGTGGGTGCCCGCTGGAGGCCAGGGCACTGGCTGCTGCTTTACCCAAACCCGTGGGGCTCGCAGTGACCTTGAACCAGACACTGTTATTGCCCCCATTCCCTGATGAGAGAAGAGAGGCTCAAAGAACATAACTTTTCCATCCAGAATTGTGGGCCAGGATTGTCACCCCACGGCCCGGCTCCAGAGCTGGAGGTCATGAGCAGCCCCACAGGGGAGAGAAGGGCCGGGAGGCCTGCGGGGGGCCACGGAGGGCTCTTACCTGCAGTGCGTGGTCCTTGCTGCCGGGGGCGGACGAGATCTGGTACTTGCTGGAGTTGCTAATCTGCCCCTTGCTGCTCTCCCAGCGCACCTCCGGCATGGGGGTCCCGCAGACCACCGCTCGGAAGATGGCGTTTCTCCCTGGGGTGGGGGAGGCGGGGCGGGGAGGGCGATAGGGTGTTATTGAGTCGATAGTGTGCGTGACCCCCACTGCCTGGGCATCTGGACCATCCATTTCCGGAAGAAGGCCTGGCGCGGTCGGCCGGCTCAGGGGCTCCCACACGCCTGTCTCCTGGAACCCAGGGGTGGCCCGGTGGTTTTGCATGGCAGGGAGGTTTTGTCCTTGAGGGAGGGACTGTCCCCAGGGAGCAGGGCTTGGGAGGGACAGGCCTTTCTTTGCAAGTGTCGGGGATGAGGAGTCTGAAGGACCGTCCCCAGGCTGAGAAGGGGATGAGTCTTTCATGGCTCTCACGTCGCTCTCTGGGTGGAGGTGACAACCCCAGAGAGGACTGGCTCTTGGGTGCTGAGAGGACCTGGTCCTGAAACCCCGAGCTCGGCCTGGAAGCCCAGGACCTCCTCCCCTCTGAGGACTGCTCAGTCCCTCGCCCCCGAACGGCTCTGCAGGGGGTGGTGTACACTCCCGGGGGCCCCTCCCAGCAGTGAGAGAGTCCCCCAGCCTTGCTTTTGAGGACTTGGGGTCCGGTTTAGCGAAGTGATGTGTCACATTTTCTGATACCGGAAGGTCATACACTGAAGGGCATTGCATGGTTGGGCAGCTCACCAGCTGGCACGCCGGCCAGCCCGGCCTGTCCCCCCACCCCACTGGGCACTTCTCTCCAGGGGCCCCTGGGGAAGGGCCGTCTGAGCCCAGCGGGAGCCCGGGGGGCCTGGGAGTGGTGGGCATCTGGACAGAGGCGCCCAAAGGAACCAATCTGGGTGGAACAGCGACACCTGCAGCCACCGGAGGCCGGGCAGGCGGACACAACCACCGCCCCTCCCTGCACAGGCCCAGCATCTCCTTTCAGAGCCTGGGCTCGCTCCCCCCGACCCACTCTGCCCTTCCCGGGGCCCAGGCAGGCACACGTGGCGTGGCTGGTGAGGACTTGAGAACTGGGGGGTTGGGGGTGCTGTGCGTGCTGGAGGCGGGGTGGCGGGGTCCCCTCGGCAGCTCCGGCCCCGCCCCAGCCTCACCTTCCGCCAGCGCCATGGTGACGGGCTTCTGCTCAAAGTCCGGCAGGCTGCACCCCGCAGGGACGTCCTCCACCAGCTGCCGGACGGTCACCCCGTGCTTCCTGAGGGGCTTTCCTGGGGACACGAAGGATGGCAGACGCTGCCCTTAGCACGGTGGAGCTCCAGCCCACGGGCCCTGGGAGTCAGGGCCCCTCCCGTCCCACACCGGGCGGCACGGAGACTCACACACAGCTCCTGCCAGGACGGAGCCCCTGCGGCGCCCCCAGGAGCAGCTGGGGGAGGAGGGAGGGAGGGGCTCACCTGCCATGGTCAGGCTCCGCTTGGCTCCTGAGGGTGCGGTGGGTCCTGCAAACAGAAGCAATCACTCCCGGGAGGCTGCTGGCTCTAGCCTGTCACTCCCTGGCATCACTGGCCAGTGTCTGGGGGACCTGGGTTCAGTTGCTGCCTGTCCCCGAGAGCTTGTCTAATCCCAGCTGAAGACCCTGACGGGCTCCCTGCAGTTCTCCGGTCCAGCCCGACCGATGTCCTGGAGACCAGCAGGGCTGGGTGCTTCCGCTGCCCTTGCCCAGGGAGAAGACACACGGGGGGCCGAGCCTGCAAACTGTGCTACGGCCCGGCCACTCACCGGAGGGTGACACAGCGTCCCCAGTCTCGGGAGATCAAGCTCCTGATCCCAGCACTCTTCCAGCTCTAGGGACCCGGCCCCTGGGACACGGGACGTGACCGTCCCAGGGAGAGTCCCAGGTTTCCCAGTGGGTCCCAGCAGCCCCCGGGCCTCCCTCTGTCAGCCAGTCTGGGTGCTTCTGAACACCAGGTCCGCAGAAGAACCCCCTCTCCCACCCCCGGCTGCTCTCAGGCTCTTGCCCCGGAATCCATCTGCCCTGCTCTGAGGCCAGTGAACTACAACGTCTGGGAGACGAGTCTCCGTGTCTCTTCCAGCCACCACCGCCATCTCCCACCCACTCGTGGCGTCCGTCCACTGTGGCCAAGAGGGAGTGCCCCGAGGAGTGGCTCCGGGCTGGTAGAGACTCTCCAGGAGACCCCTGAGCGGGAGGGGAGGAGATGTCTCAGAAGGGCTCTCCAGCCACCCCACGTCTGGCGCGGCCGGCCCGTGGCCGCGGCTCTCGGTTTCAGCCGCCTGTGTCCTGCCCAAACGGCTCACAGTGGGCTCCCCAGACAGCGCTCTTTGCTGTGCACTGCTGCCCTTCCCTGCTGCTCCCCCCTCCACAGCCCTGCCGCGCTGGAGTGCCACGGAGCACCAGTGGCGTCCTGGAGCAGTCCTGGCCACGGCCACTGGGCAGCAGGGAGTTATGAGGGAGGGGCAGGACGAGGGCAGCCGCCCAGCTGGTGGAGGGGCCCCCATCTCACCCACCATCAGTGCAGCCGCTGGGCACCTGTCCACAGCCCCACCCTGCAGCAACGCCACCCGGGTCTCCTAGTTGTCACCTCTGTCACCTGTCATCATTGCCACCAGCTCAGTGCCTCACACTTGTCACCTCGAGGAGGGAATGTGAGCACAGTCCTGTCCTCCAGCCTCCTGCCTGCAGGTCTCCGCTGAGAGGGAGAGGTGCCTGGCCCTGCCAATGGGGCTGGGGGGTCCTGGGTTAGCCCCCGTCACCTGCTGGACCCTTGATTTCCTCAGGAAGGGCCGATTTGGTGCAAAGTGCATGATGGATGGGCAAGAGCTCGGCTAGGCTGCAGACCGGGGACTGTGGCATCCCCTGGACAGTGGGGGACAGAAGGGACCCACGTGCCCACGCTGCTCTCTCCACCGAGAAGAGCCAGTACCTGCTCAGAGCAGCGTCCTCACGCAGCCTCCCCCAGCCACACGGTGGGCCCCCGCCCCTGCCCTCCCGGGTCTCATCCTACAGATTCAGGTGCCTGCCGCCTTTCCCTCCTCGGCTGGGGCTGCTCTCGGCTGCGTGGAGATGCCCCTAGTCCAGGCCCGAGACCTCATTCTGGACGGCTCGTCAGATCTTTGACCTGGTCACCATGACACAGTCTAAACCAAGAATGGCCCAGAAAAGCCGAGCCGGAACAGAGGACAGGCTGGATCACTGAGACCCGCTCCCCCAAGATCCTGCAGTTGTCCCCAAGGGTCACGGGGCACCAGGGATGTCCTGGGCGGGTCTCATTCTCTGCCCGCCTTCCCGAGTGGACAAGTCACGGAGCACTCGGCTTATCTCCATCTGCGCCTCACCCCACCCCAGGTGGGCAGCCGGGTGTGCGGCGCCCACTTACCTGGGCTCACAGCCGGCCCCCAGCCTCCTGTCCGCTCCCTGCTCCCTGCCTCCAGCTGCTGCACCCTGCCCTGCACGAGCCTCCGGAGGCACTGCCGTGGACAGGCGGTGCTGGGGCACATGTAGGTCACGGCGGCCTTTTTGGGCTCCGCTGCCCCTCCCACTCGCCCCGCCTCCCTCCTCCTCCTCCTCCTCTCGCCCGGGCTTGGCAGGGCCAGGCCCCCCAGGGCTGGTGCCCGGCCGCCCAGAGGTCAGAGATGGAAGGGTCCTGTGACATTTGGCTTCTCCGACGCCTCATCTTGCAGGGCTTTGAGCTCGGAAGCAGACGGGCTCAGTTACGCCTGCGCCATGGGGATGAGCCCTCTTAGCCGGGGTGTGGCTTTATCCACAGCCTTTGCTCTCCAGCTGAGCGGATCCCGGGGCCCAGGACACCACCCGCCACACAGGCAGAAAGCCGCTGTCCCCGTGGGAGTCACAACCCAAAGTGTCCCCAAGCAGGCAACACATTTGGGGAGCTAGTCAGCCCCAGACAGATGACAGGGTGTGACCCCACGGGCTGTGCTGGGCCAACTCCCCTGAAAGAGACCCCGGGGCCATGCACATCCAGGAGGAATTCCTGGAGGAGGTGGGCTTTCTCGGGACAGGGGGTGACCCAGCAGGTGGGCAGATGGTTGGCCGCGTGGAGGGAAGGTGGGGACTGAGGACAAGCTGTCCAGTGACAAGGCCACCTGCCCCGCCCCCCGCTCTGCCCTTAGGGGCAGAGACCTGGCTGTTTCCTACACACGCCAGGCTCGATGGGGCTTCAAATAAAGTAAAACGGGGTCAGCACTGCCTTTGGGGGGCCCTGGAGAGGCCCCCGTCCTCGTGAGCACAGGGCTGTGTGGGAGGGCACGGGGGAGGGGCGGGCGCACGTGGACAGGGGTGTCCCTGGCTGCTTCTCACTCTGCGTGACAGGCGCAGGTGTTCCCCCTGACCCAGCGCCTGCTGTGCGTTGGGCCCTGGGGTGCAAAGGTGACCAAATCTCGGGCCCTCTTGGAGCTTACAGCCTGTGGGCCAGACCAATGTCAAATGGCCAGCCACACGCTGTCACTCATGCTCCAAGGGACCAACAGAAAGTGGGGAGCTCAGGGTCTGGGGGCAGGCGGCGGGTGGGTGCGTTTGCCCAGGTGGCTTTGGAAGCCACCTGGAAAGTGACATCTCCGTGCTGAGGACTCAGGGGGGGCATTTCGTCCAGAGGGGTGACTGGGTGCAGCCTGCACTTTGAACGCTTGCTCGGGTGCAGGACGGAAAGGGAACTGGAGGGGGTGGGAGAGAGAGGCGGCTCCCAGCAGGGCAGTCCCGCAGCCCCCACTGGTCTTTCTCACAGTGGGGCTCTGGGCTCCGGGGGCACCCTGAGCCCTGCCACACTCCAGGTGCCCCGCTGGCCCCCAGGTGCTGGTGCGCCCCCCCTGAGGCCTGGAGGCGGCCCGCAGGCCGAGCAGGGGCGCCTGTCCCCTGGTCCCGCACCACACTGGGGTCCCGCTCTTTGCCGTAGATGGAAGTTTCTGGACTCTAGGAACTGCGGTGAGTCAACTGGTTCTCACGTGCCTCTGCCCTCTGTCCACCCTCGGTGACACGCAGTGCCCCATGTGTGAAGGTGGCACCTCCAGTTGGGTGACGGACCCTGGGTCGGGTGCCAGGGCCACTCCTGAAACGGACAGCAGGTTCGGGGGGTGGACGGGGGTGCCCGGCCTTTTTCGGAAATCTCCAGGCTGCCACTCGAGCCGCGACAGCTGTCCTGACTGCCCTCCAGTGATCTGTCTCCCAGGCCCAGACTGGACACGGCCGTGGCATTTGCTCGCCGCCTCTCCCCACGGCACAGCCTCATCACACCTCCTAGTAGGAGTTTCTCTCTGGGAGGGTGAGGGGCCAGGCCCTGCCTTCAGCGCCCCAGGTGGACAGGACTTGCTCTGGGGCCCCCTGGTTCCCAGGGGCCAGCAGAGGCCAGGACCCCGGGGAAGCCCCGGCCCCCACCTCCGGTGTGAGGGCAGAGTGTCTCCTTCCTTGGGCTCAGCTCTTCTCCCTCGGGCACCAGCTTCTCAGATTCCCAGCAGCCACACACAGCTGGCGGCAAAGATCAGGATGAAACCCCATCCCTGCCCCCGGCCCGGCCCCGGGGCGCCATGCCAGAGGGCTGGGTGGGGGCTGGGCAGGGGCTGTGGGCACTTCTATTCTGGAGGCCCGGCTCTGGGGAAGGAGGGCTGACCCTCGGTCTCCTGTCGAAAAACTCAAGGACAGGACCCTGCCTGTGGGACTCCTCTCCTGGGGAACAGCCTTTCCATGGCGGCGGCAACGGCACAGCCCCAGTCCTCGGGGGGGGGGGGGCTCCATGAGACTGGGGAGCCCTGGTACCCACAGTGAATGGCGGATGGTCCAGGTTCCTGCCGAATGGCGTCTGCCATCGCGCGGTTTGCGAGGACTGCCCTCTCTCTGCAGCGATTAGGGATGGGGACCGGTGCGCCCTCAGCCCTGGGGGACTTGGCTGGGCCCTTGGTGACACTGTGTCATTGAACAGTCTCCTTTACTGCTGCCACCGGCCTGTCGCACGGTGTCGGCGCCCAGCTCTGCCTCACCGACTCCTGGTCACTCCGCTGGAGGCTTCTGTGACGCTGGGACTGAGTGGCCCTGTCCCATCCGTGTATCTGTTCATTGGTTCTGTCCCCAACTTGAAATGCAAAAACCCACGGGGAGAGAGATTCCGTTTTGTTCCCTGGGTTGGGGACTCACTGTGCCCCTGACTCTAACTGGGGGGCAGGACAAAGTCCCCCCCCCAGGCACGTTCGGAGATGGCTGTGTCACTGAGGTTCTGTCTCTGTGTGATATGACGGAAGGGAGAGGTCCCCGACAGGTAAAAGGGACAACGAGGCCTGGGTCGGAGCTCACACAGCCCACGGGCGGCAGCTGTCGGAAGTGTTGTGGCTCGTCACCAACGCCGGGGGCTGAGGTGGAGGGTCTAGAGGTAAGACAGACAGAAGGACTCGTGAGCTACAGGGCCACCACACAGTCACCCAGACCGCCTGTCCCCCAGCTCCTCACGGAGAGCAAGTCGATTAACATC